TCCTTCTGGGATTCCTATAACTCTTATATTTCCTTTCCTCATGGAGTCAGATAGTTCCCGAAGTCTTTCTTCGGTCTTTTTCCTTCGTACTTTTCCTTCCTTTTCTGTTTTAGTTCTTTTTATTTCTGTGTCTTCAAGAGTACTTATTCGTTCTTCCATTTCATCTATTCTGCTTTCACTGCTTTTCCCAGAGTTCTTTAGCGTCTCCATTAATTCTTTGATCTCCTGCATTTCTTTTACTTCCCTCTTTAGGGACTCAATTTCATTCTTCTGGTCATTAATTATTTTCCCCTTATCATTGTTTTCCTTTATGACTTCTGTCAGTTTTTTAATCACAGCAATTTTATATTCTCTATCTGGAAGGCTCAGAAGTTCTTCCAAGTTACTGTCGTTGCAATCTGGTAGATGGTTTTCTTTTTGTGGTGTGCTATTTTGCTGAGGAGTTGCTGGGTTGCATGTTGTTTTTCTACTCCCTACTGCCTGTTTTCTAATTTGCTGTATTCCATGTGACACTGTGTTGCTGGTACTGGCCGGCATCTTGGGCGACCTTCCCAGCTCACCACTGGCTCCTCTGGGGAACTTCTGCTGGGTTCACAAGTCTCCAGCAAAGACAGGTCCCTGCTCTGTCTCCTCGGTGAGCCTTCTGCTGGGTTCACACAGTCTCCAGCAAGAAGGGTCCCTGCTGCAAAATGCCAGTGCCGGGGACGCGCTCCCCTGCACGCCCGGTCTGCCCCAGCGGTGGGTGCTGCTCCCCTCTGGGCTGGAACTGCAGGCTAGAAGGCGCCCGGCATGGGCAAGCCTCCCAGCTTACCTCTGTCTCCTTGGTGAGCCTTCTGCTGGTTCACACAGTCTCCAACAAGAAAGATCCCTGTTGCAAAATGGTGATGCAGGAACGAGCTCCCCTGCACGCCTGGTCTGCCCCAGCGGTGGGTGCTGCTCCCCTCTGGGCTGGAACTGCAGGCTAGAAGGCGCCCAGCATGGGCAAGCCTCCCAGCTTACCTCTGTCTCCTTGGTGAGCCTTCTGCTGGTGCACACAGTCTCCAGCAAGAAAGATCCCTGTTGCAAAATGGCGATGCAGGAACGAGCTCCCCTGCACGCCCCTGGTTTGTTTTGTTTTGTCATCACCTTTCTAGCATCTGAGAACAACTTCCTTTATTACTCCTTTTTAAAATTGTGGTAAACCACACATAATAAAAGTTACCATCTTAATTCAATCGGATTAATAAGGACTCCATATAGTTGTGCAACAAAGCTCCAGAATGCTTTACTTCTTGAAAAACTAAAACTCTACCTTTAAAAAAACTCCCTATCCCACCCCCCAGTCCCTGGAAACCACTGTTTCACTTTCTGTCTCTAACAATATTGTCACTTCTATCCCTGCTTTATGGTTGTAGCTCTCTGGTTCTTTGAGGATATTAATTTTAGTGTTTTTTTTTTTTTTTTAAGGTTTTTTTTTTACTCCTTGTGTCCCTGTTCTTAATTCCTACTTAGAGGAATTTTGTTCCTCTAAAAAAAAAAAAAAAAAAACACCTTATGTTTTTATTCATTTTGACTTCGGTTTTGGTATCTATCTTTCATGTTGGACGTTACCTCAAATGCCTATTGATCCTCAGCTATCTCTTTATATTTAAGAGTTATTGGAAAGCCGTTTGGAAATCTTTAGGGCATCCGTAAAACCTGCTGACCAGCATAATACATTCAATATATGACTGAGCAGTTAACTGTTGGGTTCATTTAGAGAATTCCTAAATGATTCCTGGGTATTTTCTTTCCTCTGAGAAGGATGTTTCAATTTTATGCCCAGAGTATGGGAGTTGAGGTAAAAAATATCTGTTTGCCAAAATTCTAGATCCTAGAATTGGAAAGGAGACATGAAGCTTACTAGGCAAAATATACACATTCCTGTTTTTGGTCCAGCTCCTTAACGCCTCTCACTTATACCTGCAGTCCATGATCAAGAACTTTTCCCGGGCCTCCCGAGTGGCGCAGTGGTTGAGCGCTGGGTTGCGAAGCTGCCCACAGCCTCTGCAGCACCGGTTCGATCCCCGACCACTGGGTGAGGGTCCCACATGGTGCACAGACCTCTCCTGCCGCTCGCTGCTCCCCTCAGCAGTGTACTTCGTCTGTCTGCCTATTCTGTTCCCCGCTCTGGTGAATTCTCTCACCTGCCCGTGCTTCTGACTGTACCCAGTGCTTGTATGTATGTATGTATAAATAAATAAATAAATCTTTTGAAAAAATGTAAAAAAAGAACTTTTCCCTTCAGGAAGGACCTTCCATCTCCTATGATAATGAGGGAGAAAGTTTCCTGAGGTGTAGGGTAAAATATAACAAAAACTCCGTAATCACCACTGAATTAATTCCATTGCTTTTAGCTCTAAATCTCATTTTGCTTTCTGAGATACCTCAAGTTTCTAAAGCTTTTGGGAATTCTGCTGGGTAAATCAGCTTGTTCTCATTATAGTATTCCTCTGCAGACACTTAGGATCCTTCTTCTACTTTTCCTTCTACTGTTTTAGCTCATTATAATTCAGATTAACAAAGTCTTTGTTCAGGCTGTGGAACCTAGATATAAAGAAACAACTTTACTACTCAGAGATATCAGTTTTAGGTTTCTTAGGAAGCAAAGATGATATAAAATTACTCCCTCAACTAATATTAAAAAAAACAAAACATAAAAGTTATCACAGATGAATTCTGGCAGCTAGCAATAAACAATAAAATGTTTTTAAAATACCATAAAAGTATATAATATGAGTTAAATTTAACCATGAGAATAATGAATGCATAAGTAACAAGGGTAACATATTTCTAGGATATTTTCATAAGAGCCCAGTATATAAAATATGACTAATATTTAATGAGCTCATAATACAGTCCTGACATATCAATGCCAGTGTTGGTGCAAGCTCTTTTCCAGTTTCACTTTTCAAATTTCTGACCTCTGCTAAAAAGGAAACATTCTCAGTTAAGAAAAAACAATTTACAAAATTCTAATAATTTGATCATTTTTGAAGTGGAAAATAAGCAGTTTTATAATAAGGCTGTAAATTGATTGTGACAAGAACCCTTTATAACTTCAAGTGACCATCTGACGCGGCTAGGTGTAAGACAATAGGCAGGCGAGAAATTACTCCACTGTGAAGTGAACACACCCCTTTCAGTCACTGCTCAGTTCTGGACTGCTGCCTTGTGGGAAGATGGGCCCAGAGTAGCCAGACCTTCCAACTTTGCAGAAGAAGCCAGAAATTTAGGTTGTTTAAATGTGCTGTAGTCCAAATAAACCCCCTTGGCAGCTACATTCAATTCATAGACTGCCAGGCTGTGCCTGTGGATTTTGACTATTACATTTTCTCCCTTATCCATGAGGCTGTTTTTCTCTGCCCAAAAGAATGTATCACAGCAGATATTGGATATGAACAGGTACAGCTGAGTCACAGCACTCATGAGATGCTTTGGATTCCCATCAAAGGAACAAAAGACAACCACAGACACAGCCTCATCTCCACATCTGGCTTCTCAAATTACACCTTGGAGTCCTGCTTTTCACTATGCCAGCTGGTCATAATATACTTTATGGGCAACTGTGTAAGTAATAAAATATAATAAGAGTTAATGACTCAAAGGATTTGTACAGCATCTTTGTCCCAAGGTTGTAATAGTCCTCCATATGTATCTTATAGCTATGTAAGAGAGTAAGTGAAAAATAATCTGATTCCTTTACAAACGAAGATGGGAGGTGTTAATGAAAGCAGATCTATGATTAAAACACAGTGTGTTTCATTTTTAATTGACTTCTTAAAGAACAACTGTATAAGAATATACCTACTAACAGACAACAATCAGAAAAACACCTTATCTTATGAATGGACTTAGTTTCCTCTTGTGCAACGCAGATGGTTAGTAATAATCTGTTGGTCTATTGTTAATTTGATGATGTTACTCAACTGAGTTAAAGGTTGAGTAAGGAGTGCACATGGAGACTTCCAATAGGCATACAATGTTTGTTGGCTGAATGTGTAGGCCAAAAGTACATGAGTTACTGAATGAAATCGAGAAGGCTTCATATTTTTTAGTAGCTGATTCCTTTTTACAAGTAACATTTTATGTAGAACTCTAATATTTAAAACAGATAATAGAACTATTCTGGCTGAAGGTGGGAGGAAGAAGTCCAAGAACTGCAAATTTTAACCCTTTCTTCTTCCCTCCTATATACCCCTCCAAAAACTTTGCTCCTCCATCTTAGATGATCTTCAGGTATCTCCAAGGAGATTTTGACTCAGGATTTTGAAACTACTTGATTAAGTGATCATTATTTTCCTTTTTCTTTTGATTATTCCTTGAGTATGTTTGAGGTAATCACATGAGCAAATCATTTTATCTAACTAAACGTCCACTTTGATGATTGTTCTGTTCTTATGCAGTACTTAAGAGCTCTTTGGTGTGTTTCAATCCTTATAATTTCCCTTAAGAAATCACATTACTATACTCTCTGCCAGTAAGTTTCATAATATCTTTCGCTAAATAAAAAAATGTTTGTTATTCCCAACTAATATAATGGACTCCTGTATAGACAGCATATATTCAGTATAATAAAACTATATATTATAAATAATAACAATTATAATTTCTCCAAAAAGTTTTTTTTTTAATCTGTACTGTTTAAATTTTTCTTCTCACTTGTAGGTTAAAACTGGATTTTGTTTATCATAACCAAATGCCACTTTTGGCCACCATATCTCCCTACTTCAGGAAAAAAAAAACCCACATTTAAAAATGGATGGGAGCTATAAAACAATCACTAGGAAACTTCTTGTGTAAAATAGGTCAAGCTACTAATATAACACAAGTCACTATAAAATGTCTTCAATTACCACATTGCATATTTTAGAGGAATGTATTACACTGACTTTGATTTTTGTAAGTACTATTCTGACAAGTTATACCTTAAATCCAAGACCAAAAAAACAAAGTTTTCAAAATAGTTATTGTCAATCTACCTGAAAGATCCTGAAATTCAGGCTTTTGGCTGAAGATGAGGTAGTTAGTGGCAATGAAATGAAGTAGCCAAGTTGAAAGGCAATCAGAGTGGTGAAACTGCAAGAAAAAAATGGAAAGTGAAACAATATTGTACATAATGGCCACTGGCATGATGATCAGATTGAGAGAATGGTCTAGGAGAAGTCAAGGAGACCCAAATCTATGTTAATGTATCTACAGATGAGGCAAACTGCAGGCTACTCTGACTGCAGAAAGGAAAAAGAGGCATTATGAACAAAAAACAGTAAATTATATCATTCAATGAAGAAACCAAATAACAAGTGAACAGCAAGTATTGCTGCTGGAGTGGCTGAACGCACCTGCAGTAAACAAGACCATTTGAATTCTTGAGGACTTAATTAAAGCTTTTATTTTTTCTCTTTTATTTTGATTCAACAATTTTTTTTGTTGTTGAACAACAAAAACAATGGCTTCCAATGTCATTTATGATTTAGAGGTGAAGGATTATTTAAGCTTTTCATACATGATCATGGTTATAGTAGCTCTACTATAGCTGTGCAAGGGGGATAAGATTATGGTTAGCAAAGGTACACACTTGGCCAAATCTAAACAAGGTCACTAGAGGAAAACCAAAAAAAATATATTGAGGAAATACCAGCAGCCTAAGGATAATGGATTTCAATGTGCAAATATTTCTATGAGAAAGTTAAATCTGAATAGTTGCTTTAAACTGGGATGGACTGTTAAACTGAGCAAGATTTCTAGCATATTTCTCATATAAGTTCCAGCTATTGCTAATGGTGGGGAGACTCAGAGCAACTTGACCATGACATTTTCACCTTGGGGTCAATTTGTTGACACCACTGATCCAGGTAACCATTCAATTCAGATTAGAGTAACTTGCTGGCAGGCAGCTTTGGTACATGAGTATATAATTATTATTGTGATAAAATATATATAAAATTTGCCATTTTGATAATTTTTTTATCATAAGTACATTCACATTATTGTGCATCCGGCACCATGATCTATTTCCAGAACCTTTTTATCATCTCTATCTGAAACTATATTAACAACAGACAATTAACAATATTAAACAATTAACAACATTAAACAATAATTCAACTTCCTTACTACCCAGCCTAGTCACCACTATTTTAGTTTCTGCTTTCATGATTCTCACTATTCTAGGTACCTTGTATAAGGTGAAGGTGAATTATATAGTATTTGTCATTTCTCTGTCTGATTTATTTCACTTAGCTTGATATCCTCAAAGTTCATCCATGTTGTAGTAGTATAAAAATTCTACTCCTTTTGAAGGCTGAGTAATATTCCATTGCATGTATATACCATATTTTGTCTATCCATTTATGTGTTGATAAACATTCAGGCTGTTTTCACCTTTAGTACTGCTCTTTTAAGGACACTCAAAAATATTAAATCAGCTAAATTGAAGAATGATTTAAATCTCAAATCTAAAGGAAGAAACTCAAATTATAGGTCTTTAAATAGTTACAATGTGGGAATTTTTTCACATGTAAATTCACATGTCCCTCTGACTTTCACTGGAGTCAGAAGTCTAATTATGAGACTATAGTTTTTTCTATGCCATATCATAAATCCTTTTTTACCTTATCTTTTTTTTTTTTTAAAAAGATTTATTTATTTATTTATTTATACAAGCACTGGGTACAGTCAGAAGCGCGGAAGGGTGAGAGAATTCACCAGAGCCAGAGCGGGGAGCAGAGCAGGCAGAAGGACTGAAGTACACTGCTGAGGGGAGCAGTGAGCAGCAGGAGAGGTTTGCGTGCCATGTGGGACCCTTGCCCAGTGGCCTGGGATCGAACCGGTGCTGCAAAGGCTGCGGGCAGCTTCGCAACCCAGTGCTCAACCACTGTGCCACCGGGGAGGCCCTTTTTTACCTTATCTTTTAGCAGATGAATGTGAGTGATCTCAAGAAAATAAAGCAAGACCCTATAGTTATTTTAACAGAAGTCACCAACCCTATTAAATGATTCATACAGGACCAACAGAAATTTAGGACACTGCCCAAGGGCTGCAACTTTGAAAGAATAGGGAAATCACAGAACCGAACAATTGGGTAGAAAAATATGGTTAAAATGCATAATTTTATTTTTAACCAAGATAAAAGGTATTATTATGGGCTCTTGGCAAGAGATAAAATGCATCTCACTGTAAGACTTTCTTTGTAAGAAGTATGTGCTGACCAGAGAAAATAGGTTTATAAGTTGAAATAAACAAGAATTAAAAGGCAAAAAACATTAAAAAAACTAAACAAATGCTATAACCTTTAATACCCTTGCGAAGAACGATAATGATAAAGTACCAGGAACCTCACAGGAGTCAGATTTGTTTCTGATATTAATGCACAGATATTAATGCACAGATTGTAAGTGTGAAGTTGAGTTTAACACTTGAAGAGGAAACAGAATTTCATAGGAATCTGCAAGGCTGGTACAAAGAATTTAAAGGCTAGAGATAAGGAAATAGCTACTTCAAGTTGAATAGATTGATCTGATTAAGGGAGAGAAACTTGTTTTGTATGTTAACAGACAACTTGATGGAAATACGTAAACCTACAAGTAGAATCATGTTAAAGAATTGAGGAAGGGTAGGAGAAAATGGAAGCAGAAGTGAGACATACCAAAACTACTGATCTATATCAAATGGATGACAAATGCCTACCTGATAGACGTGGCAGACAGGATGACTGACTAAATTTTGTTTTTTCAGTGAGGTACTGGAAGTCTAATTCTGCTAAAAGATATTTTCACTACTTAGAAGCCTGAGAAACACTGGGGGAAAGGTTAACTAAATTCTGACCAACAGGATGAACTGGCTGGTGAAATGAAACCTCAGACGAACATAAAGGAGAGCTTGAAAGAAAAATCACCTTGTTATCTTAGATTTATGTAATTGTCAAATTAGAGACCCCCAGGAATAGAACAAAAGAAAACTGGTAAATATAGGCTTATCTTAGGAAATAAAAAAGCCTTCAGAAACACTAAAATTTAAAAGGAATTGGTATCTTAGACTTTTAAAATTTAAGGGAAAAAATTAAGGTAATCACATATTCAGAAACCATACAGTCAGGTAAACCAGGTCAGGTCAGGAAGAATTTCTGACAATGTGTTCACAGATAATGTGGATGAAATAGTGTGTGTGTGGGGGTGGGGTGGGGTGGGGGAGGTGTGTGTGTGTGGGGGTGGGGGAAGTGTGTGTGGGACCTAAAGAAATCAATACAACCATAAAGAGAATTCTTTTATGAATTAGCTATTTAAAAGGACACTACCTAGAAGGTAAGAGAAGCTTGTATCCATTTTTAAAAAAATATCACAGACTTGTTAGTATGAAAATGATATATTGAAAATGAACTGAGGTTGGGAAAACGTTAGAGTGAAAAAGAACTTTTAAACTTAATTTGGAGGGTAGTTAGTTATCCCAAGCTCAATGAATATATTGCAAAAAAGGGATGACTCAGTTTTTAAAAAGTTGTTTTTATCCCTAATATTAAAAATATATATGCTCTTAAGACTTAACTATGAGAGAAATAAACTTTAAAGTACTCAAGGAGATAGCAAAATAAGAATTCATTTCAATGAATTCTTGGCAATGCCCATGAACATTTGTATGCTGATTAGTGAATTCACCTCAGTCCAGAGCTGAGTTGTCACCTGCCACACAGTCTTTCCTTGCCCCATTACGTGGCTCCGTCTTTGCATATTTGATGTAGACAATGTTGTCATAATTTTTTAATTTCATTTGTCAAAGTTGATAGGGGTAGCCAATTTGTTGGATGCCGGATAGTATTTTACAAAGGCCTAGTAATTTATAATGACATATCAAAAATATCCTTGTGAAAAAGACTAAGAAGGTTCAGTTTATCAAGATCAGAATGCATCCCATGGGCCAGGCTACCACAAGTTCTAAAACCCGTCATAGGATGGTGGGTTAAATGGTAGAATACCCAAGGGTAGGATGACCCATCTGGATAAACTTCCTTCTCCCAAGAATAAAAGAGAGGGAATGAAGTAGATTTTTGCCTGGGACAACATCTGAGATTTTAAGAAAGCAGACCAAACTTATGTATAGACCTAGCCCAATCTTTTGTCAGATTCATATTCTAGGGTCTTTGTAACTGTAATTACCCATGATTAATTTCATTGTGTAAACTCTGCTTCCTAGAATGTGAAGCAATACTATTTTTAAAACAGAAGCTATCTGCAGCCACTGTAGCACAAGTTCGATCTCCAGCCAGGGAGCTAACCCACATAGCACAGCAGACCTCTCCTGTCTCGACTGCTGCTCCCTTCAGCAGTGTATTTCAGTCAATCCGCCTGTTCTGTTCCCTACTCTGTCTCTGGTGAAACCTTTTACCCCCCCCACCCCACACCTCTGACCTGTACCCCAGTTCTTGTATGCATAAATAAATATATTTTTTAAGGATTTATTTATGCATACAAGAGCTGGGGTACAGGCCAGAGTTGTGAGGGAGGGGTGAGAGGCTCCACCAGATACAGAGTAAGGAACAGAACAGGCAAACTGACTGAAATACACTGCTGAGGGGAGCAGCGGGCAAGAGAGGAGAGGTCTGCTTAGCCATGTGGGTTGCTCCCTGGCCGGCTGGGGATCAAACTTGTGCTGCAGAGGCTGCGGATTGCTTCATAGTGCAGTACTTAACCCCTTGTACCACCAGGGAGGCCCAATAAATAAATCTTTAAAAAATCAAACAAACAAACAAAAAAAAACCAGAAGGCCCTGCGATTAGAAGAGGCCATAATAAACATGGTACACTGTAGTGACTCTCAACTTCCAATATTTTTCACTGAAAATAGAGACATATTAACAAAAGGTGTTCTGAAAGGAATAATAAAGTAAGCCAGTATCTCCTATATATAACTAAAACTTCAACACAAGTTCATGAGGTGAATGAATGAATGAATGAACAACTGAGTTTGGCCTAACCATCTCTATGAATCAATTCTGTCATTTTCCTTTTAGGAACTCCAAAATGTGATTATTTAGGGGAAATTCAATGTAAACTTGATTTCCTATAATGCTGATATGACAAAATGCAGCACCACACTCATGGGACTCCAATAAGAGCTGCCATTCAGCTTTAAAATTCCATATTGGCAAACTTTGCGTCCTTAGAAAAGCACTGCTCAGAAACTCTAGGTTTGCAAATCACCTAGCCACAGAAATGTTGTCAGGCCACTATTATCTCCTTTAGCCAAACTGCCAAACTAAGACACATGCTAATATATCTCTTAAGAAACAGAAATTTTAAGAGTATTTCAAAATTTTATAAGATTTTTAAAAAAATCATAGAACTAGATTCACAAGGTCAGTTACCTTGGCTTTTTTGAGCAGGTCCACAATATCAAGATTCATGGCTGCCAGCTCCCTGCTGGGCATGCTCTGCAGCTGAGTGATGATGAATAGCTCACAGATGTGCTGCAGTCTGGATACCTGGTACATTTCCGCACAGATCAGGAGACACATGGCCTGGAAAATGCCAGCTGATGCAAGAAGGGAAATAAGAGAAAATGAACAGTAAAACCATTTCTATTATGACCCAAAACAACAAATTGCTAATTATGTCATCCACTGTAGAATTCCTAGAAAACAAATTTTAAGGGTGAGTCAGCATTCTTAGCCATTACTCCATTCTGAAAGAATTCATTTTAACCATCATAATTAGAAGTGCATCTGTTCATTGTTTTGGGAGTTTCATAGTCTGACATTTTAAAATTCTCCAGAGGAGATTCTACAGTTGCCCTTAGTAATTTCAGGACTAGGGGGTAATTCTTTATGCTACCTAAACTAAATCCTGGCAAGTTTTCTTTTGCTGGCTTTAGTCTTCAGGGTCTTTTTGTTTTTATTGTGGTAAAATAAACATAATAAAGTTTACCACTAACCATTTTTAAGTGTGCAGTTTAGTGGTATGAAATACAATAACTCCAAATTTTTCCCTCCTCCAACCACTGGCTAACATTCAAGGTGCGTTTAAAAAATTTTTCTCCTATAATTTTGATTTTTCGTGCAATTCTTTTTTATCCCTCCTTAAATTCCTTACATTCCTTTAGACTAAGTTAGAAACCAAAACACTGTGAATGATCTATATTTCACATAATGAAGAGATTACCATTCTGTGGTTTTCCCAATGCAAATATTCCGGTATCTAGCATAGTTTTTTGACTACTATTTTTGACTCATTTCCCCCATTTCTTTTACCAATTTTTAAGGTGTTCTGTCATATAATTACTATTACTTTTCAAGCATTTTTTCAAATTAGCAAGATAAAACATAAAATCAGAAGCTTCAGTTATTCTAACAGGAAGATGATTGAGAAATCAGACTGCCATTCCAAATATGGTCCATTTTCTTTAATATACAAATTTGTTATTATTGAAATAATAAAGTAAACAATAATTTCTCTGATAAGAATCAATGTTTTCACTTATAATTTTTTACTGGGGTGTAACTTATATGAATTAAAATTAATCATAATTATTTTCAGTCTACAGTTCAGTGGCATTAAGTATTTCACATTATTGTGCAACCATCACTACTATCCATTTCCAGAACCTTAAAACCCCTAACTGAAACTCTATACCCATTAAAGAGTAACTCTACTTTCCCACTATCCCAGCATCTGGCAACCTCCATTCTACGTTCTGTCTCTGTGAATTCGAGTTGCTCCTGGTCCCTCCAATAGGTGGAATTAGTGTTTGTCCTCTTGGGGCTGGCTTGTTTCACTCAGCAAAAGGCTTCAATATTCATTGCTGTTATAGTGTATGTCAGAATTTCCTCCCTTTTTCAAAGCTAAATAGCAATCTATGATATGTATATGTCATAATGTGTTTATCCATTAGTCCACCAAGGGATAATTTTTGGCTACTGTGCATAATGTTGCTGTGAACATAGGTACACAAATATCTATGTGAGTCCCTACGTTTAGTTATTATAGGTACAAACTTAGAAGTGCAAACAATGCTTTCATTTTTGTTGAGCAAAAAAGGTATGCCAGTCTTTGTAATTTACTCCAAAACACTCTATAACTGGTTGTCAGAACTGAATTCAATTTAACAAGGAATTTTGGTTTTGGAATTTCTAAAACCGTTCACTAGAGGGTGCATGACTTGTTTAAAACTTAACAAATGTAAGAAATCTTCATAGTCTAAAAATTAAAAAAGTAAATCTGAAAAGAGATATGGTATGAAAAGTGGGTTTTCTTTTATATTTGCTGGGGTGCCTGGTCAGGTTCTATATAGTCCAGGTCGTAGGATCCTGGACTAAGGCACCAGGAGTTTATTCTAGTTCTATTTGTGGTGGGAGCCATCTGGTGGCCAATGAGTGAAGACCAATCAAAGGGAGCTTCCATGCCTGCATCCCAAGGCTCCAGGACCTTGGAAGGAATTTGGCAATTTCTCCAAAGTGCCTCCACTTAGAGGAACCCCACAAGATCTGTTCCAATTTGTAGCTGCTGTAGACGATTGGTTCCAGATCAAAGATAGTCCTAGACCAGTGAATAGACAAATAAATCCTACATTCCACTGGGCATTCTAAACATCTTAGGAAAAGTGTTTGGGGAAGTCAGCTTTAGGGCAGTCTAACTTTAAAAGAAGTTAGAAGAAAGCCTAAAAATGATCTACATATCCTGGGCTAGAGAGATAAGTGAAAGTGCCTCAATCATAAGCTAGAGCCATAAAACCTATCGCCCAAGCCTCTTTTCCATGGAGTCTCTGCTCCAACTTGCAGAATTAAAGCAGCTGTCAAGTACCACAAGCACCTCTTTTTCCAGGGTACCTACAATTATCACCAAGCTGTTCCATGCTGGCTGGGACATGTGAACTAACCCAAAAGAGGAACCCAATCTCTGCTCATCCACCTGAACTGGCTGAAAAGTCATTACTGCACCAACACCACCTCCACTTACTTAGTACATTCCATGATGTCCATCCTGATAAGCCTTAAAAAAAAGATTTCATAGAAATCAAATGGGTAACAAGGAAAGAAAGAATGGAAAGATATTATCTAACATTTATATTGCTAACCTGGGCAACAGGAGTCTGTGTAGAGGTATTCTAAGAATGACAAGAAAGTCTCTTTGGAAACACCATAAACTGGAATCAGAACACTCTTTGCTTCCATGTAATTCCCATTAAACATGGCTGCCATCACTTCACAACGGGCCACCAGGATGGCCCTGTGGGCTGGCACTGTCGTACCTGCAAGGTTCAAAGGGGAAACAAAGCTAAGATAAATCTGCAGAATTGTTATGTTGGCAATATTCCTTCTAGCAAGAGTGGTACTACAATAGGCAATGCTAACTTGATATATAAAAACTGGCAATAATCCAGAGACTTTTTAGTTTTAATTGAAATAAGAGTTCAAACTTTGGCTTTGAAACCAACCATTTGCAAGTTAGGCAACTATTTGTTACTTAGTTTATTTTTCCTGAAGACAAACACTAAATTAAATATTTTATTTCCATGTTTCTGTAACAAAACATCCTTTCTAATTGCCTTTAAATGCCACCACCCACTTCTACCCATGTGCTACCCAGAAAGCAACATCATTACCTTTCTTGGCTAAACAGTCCTGGCCAGACTTCCTTATCAGAAACAGGAAACCGAGAAGTAAACTATCATGGAGAGGCAGTTCATAGATCACAGCAGGAAGGGAGAGGGTGTTTCTTGTGGGTTGAGTCTCAGATCTTATGGAAAATTTGGAAGGGGATGACCTAGTCTCCTGCTGTCTCATCAGCATGCTACCTTCCTCCTGGAACCTCTCTTGATTTAGTGAACAATGCCTAGTTCTGGGAAAGCCAGAACTACTTTAAATTTTAAAGTTCATTAAGCTAAACTGACTCTTTAGTGAGAGCTTGCTAATAAAACAACCAGCTACTGCTTCATCACACCAAGGCAGCACCAAATGGGACACATGTGGCCTGGAATCAGGAGTGCAGAAGCAGTTCTCACCTCTTCAGGGAACTATGAATCCACAGAGAGCCAGCAGCTCAGTCTAAATCAACTCAACAGACCATGATGGAGCTCTACTGTGTTTGATATTGAAGATATAAAGATGACAAAGATGAAGCGACTTCTGCTTTAGAGCTGTCAGCTTTTAGTTTAGTAAGACACCACAGTCAGTGTGAGTGATAAAGTTGCTCTCTTCCAGAAAATTCCATTAGCCACTCTCTCTGCTTGGCTAGACAATCAGTAGCCCTAAAATCTCATATTTCTTTGGGTCATATATTCTGCTGTAAAATATTTATAATTGTTGGATTCTTCGCCTTCTTTAAACCCAAACAAAACCTCTGGCTTTTAAGAGTTCCATCTATGCCCAGTGGCTTTCTCAAAAACCAACAATCCCTCAGGAGCCACAAGCAATACCCTACACTGCCAGTTCTGAGCTTAGTGCCTGGCACGGTGATTACACAGACATCCCTCCTGCAGGAGCAGGGAGAAGCTGCGCATTGGCATTTGGATCAGGTGGGTGGCGCCAACACCAGCTGACAGACACCCTCCTACCTCCACTGTTCCCCTTCCCCATCTCTTTGCTTTAGGCTTCATGCTGTTACAGTGACCGTGTATGGGGAACAGCCAGTTTACATAGTTCCATATATATTTGTTTACAGCCATTAACAACAAATTGAAACAGGTAACACAATTTGACTTGTAATTTTAAAGTTCTGAAATCTTAAGTGGAGTACTTTGAAAATCAGACAAAGAAAATGAAAAGTACGGTTTACACAAACTGGATAACTTATCATCTGAATTAAGCAGAGGGATGTTAAGGCTGGCCAAAAATACCAAATGGACAGTAGATGGAAAAGGAATTTGATAAGTAGCCTTGGAATTTTAACCAAAATTTTTCCACTGATGATGTGGCTACAAGAGTTACCAAACCAGCAACAGAACAATCAGTATCTTAAAGCATATTCAGAGTCCATTTCAAGCTCAGAATTTAATTCGGAAAACCATTATAACTCCAAGTAAAGAAAACATCAACTTCTGCTTCTTACCTTTTCAGACTACTATTCAGACGAGGTAGTGAGGTGTCTGAAAAGCCCCCACCATAAATTTCTCCAACCCGTTGTTTTTATCAACAACCTTTTCTGCAACATATTCTTGGCAAACATTCTTGGGCTGTTTTCACAGCTGACCCTTGTAATTAAAGAAGCTGCAGGGCCCTGCCTCCAAACTGGTTAGAGCCAGAAAATAAGGCTGCACAGAATGACCAAAAGTGACACGCAGTAGTAGGGGCATTCATTATAATGCTACAATATCCACCTTTGGGTGGGATCTGGCTCCATTGTCCAAACATGTGCTACATGATGAGGCATGTAGACGGCAACTGTGCAGGTACCAGAGAAATCACCCTGGACATACAAGAAGGAAACTGCCCCCTTATGAAGTAACCTCTCTTTGCTTCTCACCAAAAGGGCCTAAACTCTTGAAACCCAGCAAAGGCTTTGATCCCCTCTTGGAAGGGGATTCCTGGAGCTCTTTCTCGTGCTCTCTCATTTACAACTAACCCTGATGCTCTTGCCTCCACTTGTCTCCAGTTCTCATTGCATTTTTTTTTAACAGGAGATGGGGTACAGGCCAGAGGTGCAGGAGGATGAGAGTAGTCACCAACACAGAGTGAGGAACAGAACAGGCAGACTGACCGAAATACACTGCTGAGGGGAGCAGCAGACAAGACAGGAGAGGTCTGCCGCGCCATGTGGGTATCTCACTGGCCAGCCAGGATTGTACTCATGCTGCAGAGGCAGTGGAGAGCTTCACAGCCCTGCACTCAACGGACTGCAGAATGGAGGGGAGGCCCCATCTCACTGCATTTTTGAGCAAGGGTCACGCTCAAAAGAGATTACTCTGTTGTTACAAATTGTTTGATGGTGAAACTGCAATATAATACCTCAGTAAAGTCACATTTTTTAAATTGTATATAAACTGTATGAATATATAAACAATGTATAACATGTGCAGAAAACAAAATGTAGCATTTATATACTAAGTAGCAATAGGGTGGAGCTGAAGAATTATTGGAGGGTGGACTTGTTGGAATTTTCTAATTAAAGGGGAGGGGAAGACATCAATTTTCCAGCTAGAAGATAAACATGCTCTTTGAAAATGTCAAGGCCTAAAGTATCTTTCCTCTGTGGTATTTAATTGCTACACTTTCAAGAAACTTTTCTTAAAGAGGAGTTTGAAGACAATCAAAATTAAACAGCCCCAGGTTTTCAGCTGGGGAGGCTACAGAGACCAGAGTAGCTACAAAGCATATAACTAATTTCAGCTATTGGTGGGGTCATGAACAAAAGGGTCCATTAGCAGAATTATGGAAGAAAAGTAAGAGATTATGAAGAGAAAGGATTTTCCTATTAATATCACTGTTTAATTTCTTTTCTCTCTCTTTTTAAAAAGGATTTATTTATTTATACAAGCACTGGGTACAGTCAGAAGCACGGGAGGGTGAGAGAATTCACCAGAGTCAGAGCGGGAAACAGAACAGGCAGACTGACCAGACTGACAATACACTGCTGAGGGGAGCAGCGGGTGGCAGGAGAGGTCTGCGCGCGCCATGTGGGACCCTTGCCCAGCGTCGGGGATCAAACTGGCGCTGCAGAGGCTGCGGGCAGCTTTGCAGCCCAGCGCTCAACTGCTGCGCCACCAGGGAGGCCCTATTTCTTTTCTCTTAAGGTAACATATTTTCATGATCGCATTGCTTTTGAGAACTTTTCAGCTGGCTACACTAACAAAATGTTTGACATCAATGTCTCCTATGCAAATTATAAGCAGGTGTTAATTATTCCTATGCAAATTGTTTTTTTTTTTTTAAGATTTATTTATTTGTTTGTTTGTTTATACAAGCACTGGGTACAGTCAGAGGTGCGGGAGGGTGAGAGAATTCACCAGAGCCAGAGTGGAGAGTAGAACAGGCAGAGTGGCCAAGTACACTGCTGAGGGGAGCAGCGGGCGGCAGGAGAGGTCTGCGCGCCATGTGGGACCCTCGCCCGGTGGCCGGGAATCGAACTGGCGCTGCAGAGGTTGCGGGCAGCTTCGCAACCCAGTGCTCAACTGCTGCGCCACCAGGGAGGCCCCTATTCCTATGCAAATTGTAAGCAAATTTGGTCTCATTTTCCTTTTTCCAAATTATTTAATGGTGCTTCAAAGTCACTCTTATTGTCCCATTCTCAGTGTCCCAAGCTCACAACGCAGACAGACAGAATATCAGAAAGCACTTTGGAATGTTTCCAATTCACTGTCTTGGCAAGTGGCCAAAAATAAAGATAAAAATGAATCTTTCAGTTTCTAAATCTTTAAAGTTTTTAAAATACATGGCTACTAGCTGCCATACATTTCTACCATATTATTCAAATTATGGCTTCCTTTTAGTAATAGCCCATGTGAAGTTCTAATTAAGTTCTACTTAATTGAGATGAAAACAACTGCTAGCCTTCTTACATAATTGAAAGGAATCTGACAACTCATTTTAAGATTACACCTTTAATATATTAGTGACAAAATTATCCAAGCGATTAATCGATAATGGGCATTAATACAGTTCATCTTAATTAAAATTAGGTAGCATTCCTTTTTTTTATGGAGATAAAGCAATTCTCGTTTGCTTTGGTGATAATTCCCTGTGAGGAATAAGAAGCAATCTCTATGGATGCCTGATGTAAGCCAGGCATGACCCTCAAATTATGGATACCTTCTTTTGCTCAATGGAAAGGAAGAGGGTTGAATAAAATAAGCTAAAGGTAGTATATTAAAGAGGCTGCTTTTAGATGATTCAAAAAAATAGGCTCGTAATGAAATACAAACAAAAATACATAATGGAGCTATTAAAGATCACCCCATCCCTTACTAGCCCCTAAAAGTTAATGAAGCATATGATAAGGGGAAAAACCCAAGGAAAATACAAACTTTTCTTATTGTAATAAAATGCTTAACTCTCCTTAAAGATTCTGTTGAAATTCAGATAGTGGTAGTCTGTGTCCTGCAATAGAGAATAGTCACTTCTTCATTCAAATGCTCAATCTTGAAATAGAAAGTTTAGGTAAGAAAACAGGAAATAAAAATGATCATAAAATCCTATGACAATTGAAACATACCTTGTATTTCGAAGACAACATCAGCAAGCATGGGTTTATTAAGGAAAAACTTGAGGGAAGTGTTATAAAACCACAGAGGTTTTCTGGCTTGATATGTCTTGCAATTCCTTAGGCAATTAATCTATAAGGAAAGACAAAAGTACAAGGAAAAATGTTGTAGAGTGTGTTTTGATAATATATACGGGCTGGTTAGGGAAAGTGGAAAATTGGACTAAATGACTAAAGAAATAATGACGATCTTCTCGATGGCACCTCACCTGTGATCACAGCTCTCATGGGAACTTACCACATGTGCTACCTGTCAGTGAGTGCCCTACACTCTGCAGCGTGAGTGCAGTGACCTGGAGAGGCAAAAACTCCACCCTATGGCTGAGAAGCTGTGGGATCCTGAATTCCCAGGAGTTTTTGTTAACAGGAAATGGACAACAGTCCAACCTCATAAATGCCTTGTAAACTACATTTACACATAATAACCTGCTTATTTCTTCACTAATTAATAAAGCGCATGCAGAAAAACTTAATTTTTAATTCAGAAAAAATACATATATTCTCATCACACTTTATTCTCTACTGCTTTCTAAAGCAACACTAAACTACCCGAGGGTTAAGTTGTTTCATCTTCACCTTATCTACAATCTTCTTATCTTGAATATGTTTTGTACCCACAGCTGCTGGAACTACAGTAGTCTGTAAAAGGCTGGATCTCCCATCTGAGTTCTAAAGGCCCTCATCTGCCACCACCCTACCTGTGATATCACACTGCTGCTTGAGCTTGTGGCCTCCAGTAATAGTGCTTCTGCCTGACCTAAGGGTCTCCAGCCCTCCCCTGCTCCCCACTAGGGTTGGGGTTCTTTGTTTACTCTTTCTGTGATCTTTTAGACATTCATTTCTTCCAAGAACAGAAGCCCCGCCCCTCTCCCCCTCACCTATTTCCCATGCTGAATCTCAGAACCACAGTCTAGGTCAGAACTCTGACCTTCTGGTTAGTTAGGGAATTCAGAAAGTTTTATCACTAAGAAATAATCAAGCACATGACTTGGTAAAAATAAAGGAAACCTACCCCCTGCTTTTGATTAATGTACTATGATGAAAGTTAGAATATTTGATGAGAGGGGGAGATACTATCCTTTCTCACAAGGAAGAAGAAAATACACACTAAAAATTATATCCACAGGCAGACAGAGAAACAACTGTGATCATACAAGTCCTGATCCTATAAAGTACATTCTCGGATCCTATACACAGTATACACATATTAATATACATCAGAGAAACCGGTGGAGAAGATTCAGGTGACTGCCACACAGAAAGGAGAGCAACAGTCAAAACACATTACAGAATTTTAGAGTGTGCAGGGGTTTTAGAAATCATCCATATTATCCTTCATTTCATAAAAGTCTTGAGAAGACTTGCTCAAAACCAGAGAACACACTCACAATTGACACATACATTTCTTGATTCCCAATTCAGTATTACATGCCTGCATTGTACTCAATGAATAAGAGACCCTTATCCTAGGAAAGCACCGGAAGAGTGACTAGAACTCTTCACACCTCCTCTGTGCCAAGGGCAGAATTGAGCTCAATATTATGGAATCATGCAGCCTCCCAGCCTTGACTCTCCCAACAATAATTCATTTCATTTTCGATACTCACGGAATGACTGTGTTCAGAATCAGGAACCAAGGAAAGGCTCAGGTTTAGAATAAATGGTAATACTTCTGTTCTTACCATTTATATAGGGGTTACAAGTTCTATATCATGAATACTAAGAAGATGTTCCTTATGTATTAAATACATATGTATAATATAAAGATCATGAATCTATACAAGCAAGGTTCTCTTGTCACCTATGCCACAAACTTGAAAAAAAATGGAAGGGCAAAAATTTATTGAGCACAGAAATGCACAAATGATAGGTGTTTTCAGTGATTCATAACTAAATTATTCTAAAGAAAATTTGAAAAACAGAGTGCAGGTTTATCACATTTCTACGAAAGCATTATTTATCTGAATTCTATTGAAAAGGAGCTACCATTCGGCCCTGTCACCTATAAGACTGGAAAGCATCTGAATACTTGCTTCATGCGCTATCAAAACAGAAGAAAGGTCTTGCTCCTTAATCCCATGTTACTTTGTTAAAAAGAAAAAAGACCATTTTTCAAAGAATAGTCAGAAATTTTCATTAAAAGCCAGTAGTTTTACAACATTAACTTAAAATGCTGGTAATTTAGGTTGTAGAATAGACAGTCATCTGTATAAAAATTAAGAGAATAATCATATTTTTTTCTATTTAGTATAAATCTATATTCTGCTAGGCATTGCATACAACTTACCTTTTTATCTATTGTAGCCAATTTGTTTATCACAGAATCTGAAATAAGAATATACTGGCTAAATTTTGCAATGTGGGCATCCTAAAATTTAATAAATTTCTTTTTAAAGCTCTCATAACAGACTGTACAATCTAAGATACTAGAATTTTAACACGTCCAAGTTTATGATCATGTACCAAGTCTGTACTTTTATAGCCTTTAAACCTAATAAACCTAATAAACCTATAATTCTGAACCTATATTAGATGAGAAACTGATCTTTAACTGTCCATCTGATCATACAGATTTCTCAGAATGCTTGAAAAAGGTACAGACTTGCTCCTGAATCCTATTTGGACTTAATTTTTGATGAATGAGAAAGCACCCACTTAAACAAGCTTAACTGTAACTTGACAAATTCAACAGCTCTTCATTCTTGACATAGATTGCATATTCCCAGAGGTTTATGGGGATGTTACCAAGGATGGAATTCATAAATCAGCATTTTAAAGACATGACTCACACACAGTTGAATTCTTATGTGAATTAAAATCTGAGGCAGTGAGAAATAAATGGTGTTTATGTTTAGGATATTTAAGTGTCAAAAATATGCTTAAAGAAAATATTTATATATTAGTGATTCTTCTCATGACTCAGCATTATTTTCATCATAAGACATCTATCAGTTACATGTAGTTCAGAGAAACTGTGAGTGAACCAACTTGCAATAAACTAATTTACCTTTCCTGGTGTTTTTAAAATGCATTTAACTTTCTCAATTACATCTGAAACATCGCCAGAATCTTTCAATTTCTTCCTGATATCTTCTTCCAATTCTTCCCACTGAAAAGCACCTGCAAACAAATGAATATATGTTATATTTCTTTGTTAAATCAGATATTAATGTTTGTTCTTTTTTCATCTTTTCTTTTAATTTTTCTTTACCGAAGATGACACTTTCAGAAATCACTTCCACAGTTTGTCAATTTTTCTTTCCCAAGTGCATATCCTTGTAATGACACAAAAATGTTAAAGCTAATCTGAAGAGTCAGATGGGTGATTCAGTGATTTTCAGGCCTCAGGGAGACATTCCTGCAGCACCTGCACTCTTGTGGGTCTTTGAAACTTCTCACCTGGCCTTCATGATTACTGCAATGTGTCCTGGGGAGATGGGAAGAGATGTCCTGATTTATAGGATTTGCTGTTTCTGTGTTGTAAATACTCCCATCTTGCTCAAATACAAGCCATCATCATGACATTGCAGAATCAGGAGAAATAAACACAGTCGGCTCTCATGAGCTGCTCTAATACACGACTGCTTTGCCTATCTTTAAAAGCTCTTACTCTGATTTCATTGTCAGCTCCCCTTCCTCCTCAAATTCCCAAAGTTGTGTGGTCTACATCACTTGGTTCTCCTCTTCCTGGAAGAATGATTTTTAATTTAGAGATCACATACACTATCACAATCTGATAAATTCTTTGGATCATCTCTCCAGAAAAATTTCCATGTGCACATAGACAGTAAAGTTTGTATAAAAAAAGGTCAGGAGTTAATGCAAAAATCTTTTAGGTCAAAGAGCTTCAGATCAAGAAAATATACTCTAGGCCAGAGATTATCTACTCTGTGCCTTAAATTTACTGGGAGATCTTTTACTAGAGAAGGTCTCATCCTCAAGTTAATTAGAAGTTCTGGAGCTGGGGTCCTGACATAAATTTTAAAGACTTCCAGGTGATTCTAATGTTTACCAAGTGCTAATGACCTCTGTTCTTCCCTTAGGTCTATAACGCATTGTCAATACCCTGGTAGGAAGCAAAGAGTAGGTGTAGGCATTTTTGACTATTTACTCTCATATGCTAAAGGAAATCACAGATATTATTTTTTTTAAAGCTTTATTTATTTGTGCATACAAGAACAGGGTACAGGCCAGAGGTGTGGGGGTATGCGTGAGAGGATTCACCAGAGACAGAGTGGAGAACAGAACAGGAAGACTGAAATACACTGCTGAGGGGAGCAGCGGGCGAGTCAGGAGAGGTCTGCTGCGCCATGTGGGTAGCTCCCTGGCTGGAGATTGAACTTGTGCTGCAGTGGCTGTGGATAGCTTCATAGGTTGCATCTTAACTCCTTATGCCACCAGGAAAGCAGACAGATATTATTCTTAAAAAGTAAAATCAGGGCCTCCCCGGAGGCACAGAGGTTGAGTGCTGGGCTGAGAAGCTGCCTGCAGCCTCTGCAGTGCCGGTTTGATCTCAGGCCACCGGCGAGGGTCCCACATGGCGTGCAGACCTCTCCTGCCGTGCCCACTGCTCCCCTCAGCAGTGTCCTCCATCTCTCTGCCTGTTCTGCTCCCCGCTCTGGCTCTGGTGAATTCTCTCACCCTCCTGCACTTCAGACTGTACCCAGTGCTTGTATAAATAAATAAATCAATCTTTTTTAAAAAAGTAAAATTATAAAAAACACCTACACAATAACTCCATTCATAAAATTATTGGAAAGCAAGCAAGCATCAAATCTAAATTTATGGGATTGGTAGCAGGTAAATACCTACAAGCTGCAGATCTGTTTGAGAACAGACATAAAAAACCCCGTAACAGGATAAAAGTAAGATTAGTTCATAAGGGCAATATAATGAACGTTTTCATAATTTGAAATGCTAATCAAATCATCTTTAACACTCCTAATAAAGCAGTAATCCTCAGACTGGGGTTTTCTTTTTTTCATATGGTGGTGAGAACATTTAATGTGAGCGCCACGCTCTTAACAGAATTGTAAGTGTACAGTGCAGTACTGTTAATAGGAGGCACAATGTCATACAGCAGATCTCTAGAAGTTACTCATCTTGCATAACTGACTAGGATTTTCTTTACTACCTTCTCAAGATTTATTTGCTTAGACTCTTAGAGAGCATGATGTACTCATGTGTACTAAGTTGTGTTTTCAAATGCAGTGCAGAAAAGAGCATGCCACTAAATCATTCCAAAAGCTGGAGAATACTGTGCAAACTGAAGATGAAAGCTTGTTTCCACATACTCATTTACTCTGGAAGCATTTCAACAAGTGATGTGAAATTCTAAGAGCCATCTGTGGCAGGAAGAGCTCGAAGCTAAATTCTTGAGGCTCTTAAAAATATTTCAATTCCTAACCATCTGAGATGTGTGACTCAAGAATCTGCAAGCATAAAGACTGTATCTAGTATTATAAGAATGTGACAAGTAAAATCCATTTAAGGATTACTCTATAAAGACCAGGAAACTGGCCTTATTTTCAGACTACTTCCCCTTCAGCATTATTCATTCTCTAGTAGAAAATTAGCATGTGCAAAACAGACCAACTTTTACTGTATCTATTTACTCAGAAATTTGCATAGGAAAACAAGCTGACGCCTTACAGATAGGTGGGAAGTGCTAACCACACTATTAAACAAGCCCTTCCCAAATGAGGACGAAGTGTCCATGTTGACATAATATATACAAAATACCAAATGCTTAAGAGATTTTTCAAAAGTATGTTATTTAAAAAGAATTAAGGCATTCTTTGTCACTTGGTTTATTAAAAACTGAGGCAGGAGGCAGGTTTACTATGGTTTTTCAGTCCATGTTTGCTCAGGGCAAATATGGCCAAGGTGCCACGTCGTGGTGTCCACCTCTGTGTCACGCACCGGCACAAATGGCCCCTGTCTCCTGCGGTTTCCTACTGTAGCCCCTGGGTAGGCCAGGACTTCTGTGAGGCCAGGACTGTATTAACCCATCTTGTGCTCTGTTCAAAAGTTTTAAAATGTTCCATGACAAGAAATAAAACAGAAACCCCCACACTTGGTGTCTTTATTGAAATCTCTGAGGAAAACACATGCAGGCTGAAATTTTTTGTCTGTTGATAAAAAATGTTTTCCAAAAAACAAAAACCTAGTCACGAAACATCAAAAAATATTTAGACTCTCAAGAGTGGCAATCTAGTTGATTTTTTTTCCTCAACCAATTATCTACATTTTCAAAATTGCTTTTACAGTGTGAATACAACTATAATTTTTTTAAAAACATAATTTAAACATAACAACTTTTACTGGAGTGTGAGGTTATACACTATAAATAACTAGAGGATAATTAATAAGTATCCCAGGAAGCATTTCTTTTCCCTTCTCCTTACCCAGCAGCAGATCTCTTTGTAGCCCCAGGCAATGGCCTACCTGAGGCCACCTCTTGCCTGGGACATGACATACAAGGAACCATCAGAGCAAAAATGCAACAGCTCAGAACCAGAGTAGGAACTCCCTGCCCTGCACTAGTCAGGGACTTACAACTCAGCAAGCTCTCCTCACCATCATTCCCCTCAAATCACTATTCCCAGGCTCACTTATTCAATAGTTTCCACCCAGCCTCTATGCATACTCTTTCCTCAACTTCAGGCAGGGGCTACAACAGGGCACTGACAGTCCCAGCCCCACAGAGCTCTGTATCAGTCGGCCTTACAGCTGACTAAGGCTGATAACCATGTCCTCTATGATTTCTAGGCTGAATCCCAGGCCCTAATTCCCTGCCTGTGGCTGGTTCCCAGTTCTTCCAAAAGCAGGCACTGCAGTCCTCGAGGCTGAGCATTAGCATCACCTGGGAGACTGCTCAAATTGCAGAATGTCATGTCTCACCCTGGGCCTACTGATCTGCACATTAACAAAATGCCAGGTGACCTGTACACAGTTTAAGGCTTAAAAAGCCTTGTCCTGTTGATGGACAAGCTGCAACACTGACCACATACTGTCAGAATGTTGGCCTTCCTGAGCCTGGTGGCCTGAGTGGTGGGGCCTCCCACGTGTCTTGCTTGCTCTAACCATCCTCCCACTATCACCAAGAAACAACCTTTCTAAAATCCAGTTTGATCATGCTTAAAATTCTGGAACAATTTACAAGAACATCAGAAACAGTTCCCACCAACCTTGCTAGCCTCATTTCCTTCCAGCCATCACCTCCCACTCTATGATGCAGCCGTGGGAAATCACCTGTGGTTCCCAGAAAACAGCAGTTACAAGGGTTATGATTTCATTTATACAAATTTCCCATTATATTTTATTTCTTTCAAAGAGCATTAAAGTGAACACACAAAAATCACCTATTAGTAAGTGACTCTGGGGGAGGCACTAGGGGAAGAACAGGATTTTTCTTTTTCTTTTCTTCCCAGTTTGTTCCACCTGCATGTATTAATTTTGCAATAAAAAAAAATCACTGCCTAGGAAGAAGTTACACAAGTTTTGTCACTGGATATCCATCTAGCCATTTTCACTACTGCCATACTGAAGAGGATATAACTGACCTCAAAGTGTTCATATGCCTTTGAAAGTATTCAATGGGTACTGTGGCAAACTTGCTGAATAAGTCATAATTCCAATAGTAAAATCATTGAAAAGAAAAGTCAAGCATTTTCTTCTGAGTTCTCTAAATATATCATTAATGACACTTTTTTCTTTGAACATGTAAACATTTTGATTTTTCAAAATTAGTGTTAAATTCTAAACTGTGAGATTCTAAATTTAAGGATAAAAATCTGTAGTTGCAAATGATGTATCTAGTCTGCCTTATTCACAAGATGATTTGCAGCTACCAGAATCTATTCATTAATTCAGCAGACACAGAAAACCTGCCAAGTTAAAGGCGCTGTGCTGGAGTACTCTGCATAAAGGTTACACTGGCTTTTTTCATGCCAGTTCCACTGAACACTGGGTTTAAGACCTACCACCACATTCTACCCCCTCTCTCTTTCTACACACACACAAATGTATATAAATTAATATATATACTCACACATATATAGTTAATCCACTTAATTCTTCCTGCTGCAATGGTACTTGTCAAAACCAACAATTTTTAATTTATAAAATTAAATATCCTCAACCAAATGAAAAATTAAAATCTTATTTTTCTCATCAATCATTTCAACTAAAGGCTACCAAAAATTTACATATATGACATACTTTTTTCTTTATTTGTAAACCTTTAACTTTCTATCCATCCTTCATTCTAAAGTATAAAAACAGATTTTAAATACTTCCCCAGACACATTCCAGAGGAATGACCTTAACCTAATATTCCATTAGCACACAATTTCAAGTGGAAAAAGAAAACTTAATTCCTAGGGCCTCCCTGGTGGCGCAAGGGGTTAAGATGCAACCTATGAAGCTGTCTGCAGCCACTACAGCATGAGTTCGATCATCAGCCAGGGAGCTACCCAAATGGCGCAGCAGACCTCTCCTGACTCGCCTGCTGCTCCCTTCCGCAGTGCATTTCGGTCAATTTTCCTGTTCTGTTCCCCACTCTGTCTCTGGTGAACCCTCTCACCCCCCACACCTCTGGCCTATACCCATCTTTAATTCATTTGCTTAAATGACTCTGATAAAACTTTGACCCTATAGAATATATTTGTTACTAAGTTTAAAAGGATAAAAGAAAAATGATTGATAATCTTAAAAACAGTGGCCCTCACTGGTGGAGCAAGGGGTTAAGTCTTAGTACCATCAAGCTATGGGCAGCCATTGCAGCACTGAGTTCAATCCCCTGCCAGGGAACTAACCTACATATGATGCAGCAGACCTCTTCTGTCTCGTTGCTACTCCCCTCAGCAGTGTATTTCAGTAGATTCGCCTGTTCTGCTCCCCTCTCTGTCTCTGGTGAAGCCTCATTACCCCACCACCTCTGGCCTAAACCCCAGCTCTTGTATGCATAAATAGAATACATCTTGAAAAAAAAACAAAAACATAAGGACACATAGTAAGAAAAAAGAAGTCGGTCATAGCTAACCTTGGTAGGATCTCAGCCTTTGTATGTGGTTTCCAGTTCCTAAACAGAATGCAAAGACCCTGCTAATTCCTCTCCTCAATTCCCTCCAAAATCTAAAAGTCAAATAGAAGAGCGAATAGCTAGGTTTTAAGTTATAGACACTTATTTTCACATACACATGGAAAATTTTATTTCTTTCACTAGGTAAGTAGATTCTTGTATTTTCACATGTTGGGTATTTTTTTTTTAAGTAATATACTAACATACTTGCTCAGGTGTGAAACTTTCAGAATTGAAGAATTTCATAATAGACACGTGGAAATGCTACATTTACTTTTTATAATGCAAATGAGAAGCCCATGAAAAGCAATTTTTTTTTACAAGTAGATTAAAAATCAAGGCAAGTAAACTTGGAAGGAAATGGAAGCTTGAACAAATTTTGAAAACTTAAAAGCATGGACCAGAGCCATTTGACAAGATACCTGAATAAATGAAGCGCAGAATGTCTGATAAGCAAGAACAGAAGATGGCGTCTTTAACAATGACTCGTAATGGTGGGTTTCCAGCAGACTCCTGGCCAGCACCTGGAAAGACAGCATCTCTGTTTATAGCAAAGAGATCCTGGGTAGTCCGGATGATGCTGGAATCCTGAATGTCCGCAGGACTCTTCACATTGAAAAGCAGCATGAAAACGTGGCTAACGGCACAGAGAACAATCTTGTGGGCCTCCACAACATCCTTCAAATCTGGGTTGTAGAATACCACATCCACACATTGGCAGCAGAACAGCAAGTTGTTTAAATCAGAGTTATAATGTGAGGCCTCTGCCTTTAAGACAGGCATTTTTTCTGTTTCAAAAAAGAAAATAAAAATAACAAGCTATTCTTTAGGTCTGCAGACTTCATCATTTCAGCTTTATGTTAAACACAGCAAACACTATTTTTTAATATTATTAAGTTGAATCATGAAATTATCAATATTTGGTCATTTTTGATGTGCAAAAATAGCAATTTTGTAGAACATAATCTAATATATAAACATATATAATCTAATATTCTGGAGAGTGTAGAGTTTCACAACACAGATACATAGCAATGCTATTTACTTTTATAGTACAAATGAAAAGCCCATTCATGCCATAAAGGCCAATAATTAACATTTTGTGTCTCCCAAACATTATTTGTGTGTTCCAAAATAAAATAATCCTTTAATCACTGAATTTCAGTGTCATCATTCTTTGATTTCAAATGATTTAAAAAAACAACAAATTTTAAGTTCTGAAGAGCCCAGCCTTATATCCGAAGTCTTTTCTTCCTAGGACTGATGTTGGGTGGAGGACCAAATGTAAAAACTCAGGCTCTCCAAGCCAGGGCTCAGGGTTTTGGACTGCATTGCTTGAAAGTATCTTGACCACTTTATTGTAATTCTGAAGTTAGTATTTCTTTCTTTCACTTAAAATAGTGTTTTCCCAGAACCAGCATATTCCCCTCAGCACACCTCAATGTGTTGGTGAGACTCTTAATTCCCAAAAAGAGAATGTAATGTTTGATCACTAAAGGTAGATTAATCCTCAATCAATTCAAAATAATCACACAGAGGACCACATCCTAGGCCTTCATCATAGCCCTTCATTATATAATAAAATGTGTGCTAACTTTTATTCAAAGCTGAGTAGAGGAAAGTGTTATCAGTAAAGGAAAGGGTTGCTGGGATGTTATGCAATCATCTCACTTAGTGAAATACAGATTTCTTTAGCAACAAATATTCTTTATTTTATTTTATTTTTTATTCTTTATTTTAAAGCAAAACTTGAGTCTATAAAGCAGAGAATAACAAGGTACTATAGGGACTAGGCTCCTTCTGAGCTGCACCAACCCCTTCTGCCCCTCCAGTGCCTGAGGCACCTTCACAAAACCTTAAAGACTGAGAACAATCTGAAAGCCATGTGCACCAGAGCCCAAGATCTAGCCTTGAAAGAAGTACCCCAGTTCTTGTATGCATAAATAAATAAATCTATTAAAAAATGAAAAAAAAAAGAAGTCAACACCAGAACGAAGTGTACCCAGACTTGTATCTACCTGGGCTCCTGGTTATATTTCACATGATACCCACAGCTCTGTACAGAAGAGTACAAGAAGCAGCCCTGTGATCATTGAGACTGCTGATGCTGATGGACACTCTGGAAGGCCCTTTCCTTTAGACACCTAGAGTGCCCCAAGGAAGACGCACACAAAAAATTTCTTTTAGCACTAAATGAGAAGAAATGCTTTGCTTTCTTTTTGAAACAGGTATGTTTTCTCTTCTTGAGTAATAAGGACTAAAAAATTACCTATTTATAGTACTAATTTGGCTATTCTCCACCCATCTTCTCATCCAGGAAGTATTTAAGCCTCAAGATTTGCTATGTAACAAACTACATCTCCCCTTTCACTTTGTACACTAGGAAGTTCAAAGCCAAGTGTACATATTTTTTATGGCCTTTATATTTACATTCTTAAAAAATTGTTTCTAAAACATTAATTAAATATTAACTTATATTTTCCTGCATTTTTACTCACATTCCTTCAACTAACAAATATTTACCAAGTACCTACTTTACAACAACAAATGAACCTGGATAGAGTACCATTCTTTTTTTTTTTAAAGATTTATTTATTTATACAAACACTGGGTACAGTCAGAAGCTCAGGAGGTGAGAGAATTCACCAGAGCCAGAGCGGGTAACAGAACAGGCAGACTGATGAAATACACTGCTGAGGGGAGCAGTGGGCAGCAGGAGAGGTCTGCGTGCCATGTGGGACCCTTACCGGTAGCCAGGGATTGAACCAGTGCTGCAGAGGCTGCAGGCAGCTTTGCAGCCCAGCGCTCAACCGCTGCGCCACCAGGGGAGGCCCTGGATAGAGTACTATTCTATTTCAATCACAAAATTATGTAAAAATTTCTGACAACAATTAATATTATTTATTTTTAAACTTAATTTGCCTTTAATCTTGTACTATGAACATTTTCAAATATTTAAAAAATGGAAAGAATGATACAATATGCATATTCTTAAGATTCTGAAATTACTAACATTTTATTATCTTTTGCCTTAGCTCTCTACTCACCCCCCACACACAAATGCACACACTCCTGCCTGCGCCTGATCCATTTAAAGGTAAGTTGCAATCATCACAATTTTTTTGCTCTAAAAGCTTTCATATTCATCTCCTAATAAGGACATTCTTATACTAACTACAAACCATTATCATACATAAGGAAACTAATAATAATTTCATAATATCACCTAATTTCCAGCCCATGTAAAATTTTACCCAATTGTCCTAAGAATATCTCTTAGGTGTTGTTATTAAACCAGAAGTCAATCAAGCTTCATGCAGTGCATCTCATTAGACTTTAATCGGTAACAGCTCTTGAACACTTTCACTTTTGGAAGAATCAATGAGGCACAAATTATTAACTCAGTATTCCTCAAAATATGGTACAAGTACCACCTGCTTCAGAATCACTTGGTAAGCTTATTTAGAAAAGAGATTCTGGACACCATCTCAGATTTACTGAATCAGAATGGCAGGTGAGCTCTGAACATATTCAAATTTGAGAACAAATGCTCTAAGACTTGAGAAATGATCTACAGCAAATATCAACTGAATGTCTAGAGATCGGTGAGTAAATGCACCTGGTTGTTCAAGTTGAGGTGGTCTAATTCCATGAAACGAGCTGCTCATTTTCCTTTTCTTCATTTTTTCACTTGTTTTCTGATTTAAGGCTTGAATCATAAAATACTCCAACTAAAAAACATGAATCAATTTTTAATTAAAGCTCTAACAAAATTATGTATCTGCCATGATTACTTATACCCCCAAATCACATTTGCCAAATATTTTAATGCCAATACCATGTATGCATTTGTAAAAACTTTTAAACAGTTTTTAATTAAAAATAATAAATCAAATGAAACAGATTGTGCCTTGTGCAAACACAAATAAACATAAATAAACTAACCCTTCAAGAAGAAACTGTTTATTCTCTTGAATAATCAAGAAAGTCAAGCAGCACTACCATGGGATTGTTAATAACCATTTCATGGGCAACTGTAGCAGTTAATTCCAGCAAAATTCTGAAGCTGACCTTCAGAAAGAGATGTGGCTTTTTGTCAACAGATGCTCATCTCAACTAAGGCCATTCACATGCACAATGTTAATTTTTCTTGAATAAGTTAATTTGAAAGATATGCTTTATTTCATAAACTAAAATTCTTCTTCATTGTTCAAGGCCTGAGGCAAAAGTACAAAGGAAGGTCCATGTATCACACATGTAAATCTTTAAACATTGTAAATCACAAAACCAAATTGTTCTGTAAAAAATATTTTATCTTCCTGCTTTGACAAATATGTCATCATATAAGCCTGGAAGGTCAGCTTCAGATTTATAATCTCAGACTCTTCCTCGAAGTTTCATGTAACAGAGAGAGAGCTGAGCCCTGACTCCTAGGCCCCACAACTGCCCCTCTTCACTCCCTGCTCCATCCCACGCTTCAAGGAGATTTGGACATCACGAGGACATCCATGCCCACATGTCTGTGCTCCATCCACTCTCCCCGCACATTCCTAATAAGCAGTCACCCCTTGGCCACCTCTCAAGCCTAACATTATAAACACCAGCAATCCAGAAGGCTAGACAAAAAAAAAAGAAAACAGATCTAGGACCAGCTAGCCGGTAGGAGCATTCTAGGGTCCTGGGTTTTGGTGCATGGTGACAGTCCTGTTCAATAGTACTTCCTGATTTGTGTGAACAGAAATATTTTGTAACATATGTTTAATCAATATAGTCATGAACCCCTAGCCACATGTAGCTATTGAGTAACTAAAATGTGGCTAGTGCACCTGAGGAAGTAAACTTTTAAAAAATAATTTAAATATAAACAGACACATGTGGCTAGCAGCTACCATTGTTAAGGTCTAGAAGGGACTACGAGCTCTCTTAAGCACGACCCCTTGGCTCCAACTCTAGCCCTGTGGGATGGGGTGCAACCGGAGGAGGGCTAACTGGGGCTTTCTAAAGATTGAGGGCATGTACACTGCTTTTGTATGTGTCTAAAGGTAATAGCACTCTTAAACACAGATTTTATTTTATTTTTTTTTTAAAGATTGATTGATTGATTTATACATACATACATACAAGCACTGGCTACAGTCAGAAGTGCGGGAGGATGAGAGAATTCACCAGAGCCAGAGTGGGGAGCAGAGCAGGCTGAAGGACTGAAATACACTGCTGAGGGGAGCAGCGGGCGGCAGGAGAGGTCTGCGCGCCATGTGGGGACCTGGGGAGCAGCCGGGGATCGAACCGGTGCTGCAGAGGCTGCGGGCAGCTTCCCAACCCAGCGCTCAACAGCTGCGCCACCGGGGAGGCCCCTTAAACAAAGATTTTAAATGCTCCTTTTAATCTGACATATCATTTTCGTTAACATTCTTGCAAATGTCATTATTTTTTACTCTCAAGATGTCAGTGGTACTTAACTATTCAAGAGTCTGAAAAGAGCTCTTTCTGATCTTTTCTCCATACCATCATTAAGTCTTGATTCAAGTAAAAATCACCATGTTTTTCTTCCTACTTTGACTCTCTCTTTAATCCTCATCATGCCTCCAAACCCTACATGCAAACTAAGTGTTAGGAACAAGAGAAATAGAGGAAACAGAGAGAGAAAAGAAAGTGTAAGTTGGAAGGTGGGAAGAGTGATCCTGAGAATTTCAGGCCCTGGAATGGGGAAACAAGAAGACCTCAGGCTCAATAGCACCAGGCCCCTCTTCTCCAGCAAAAGAATCCAAATGATCTTCGTTCCCCCAACTCTCTGGGTATTTCAGGAAAATGCAAAATTCTTAGACCAAATTAAGGGTGCGTTTTTTAAGCTGCTATAATATAATCTTGACCAAAAAATTAGATTCCACCCCGTCTACCTTCTACCCACTACTTATATCTACAAATCAGACAAACATTTCTCATAGTGATTAATGATATCCGCATAGTAAGTATATCTTCCCTTAATAACTGTATCATTAATGTACCTTTATGTTAGTAGTAAATAATAATCATTTCTATTCGATAGAAATCAGAATTCTAATTTTACTCAGTTTAGTAACTTTAGAATAAAGCATTTTTAGATTCATCCGTGGAAATCTCAAAATCTCAGCATGAGTTTACATAGGTAACACTGAGATATATTCAAAAGAGTACTTGATAAAGAGCTGGAGAACTAATGGAGAAGTCCAAAGGAGGCCTGATTAATGTAGAGTTTGCGTTGGATTAAATCTCTTAAAATATTTACTAGATTTGTTTACTGAGAGGAGTCACTTCTTAGAGAACTGGAAAGACAGGTTCAAAGTCAGTTAATACTAAAATGATACAACTACATGTCCTCAAAGACCTAGCAGTCCTAACATTCAGGTTAGGTGCTGTGAGCTAAGATAGGCTTCAAAATACTTGCAGGATCCGATAAATGCCACTACAACAGAGCAAGCGAACCCTAGTTCCCCACATAGCCAACAAGACGCTTCTTGTTTAAATAGTTCCTCTTGAGATCTATGAGATCTACCAAGATCAGGAATACATGAAATCTTGCCAAAGTACATATAGAGGAAGAAACACGATTCTTTCAAGTAATAGATATAAATAAAGGAGAACTTCCAGGTCCTGCTGGTTCAGGTTGTAAGCCTTGTGAACTATATAAGGATTACCATTAAAACTGACAACACACTTTTGTGTAAGTCAACATATTTTTGATGTGTGCAAAAAAGACCAATAAAGTATTGCCAAATGGGAAACTGTAAAATATCAAATTAGACAACAGGAAATGTTTCATTTGGGGAGAGAAATAAAAATATATCTTACTCTGATAAAACTCTTTACTCTCATTTTATTTCTCAAGGGTAAAACCAATCAGGCTCTTAAAACTAATCTAATTGATGTTCTGGAAAACAGCTAACGAGCCTACCTGCCATATGAACTTAGATTATGTAATAGGAATTTCCACTTACCACTCCTCCAAAATACTTTCCTATGTAGAAGTCATCGAGGCTGTGGAGCTCCAGGTAGGTAGCTCCTAGCTCTTTAGCAAGCTGGATCCCTTCAGTTGTACTAACACAGCTCCCTCTGTCTGAGGTACACAGTGGGCATGTGCAAGGTAATTCTTCTGAGAAAATGAATATGAATAACAGAGCTTTGAAATTAAACAGTAAAAAGAGGTAGACAATCTGCATATTAAATAACAAATTAAGATCCTGTACCAGAAACACAGTTCAAGGGCATTTACCACAGCCATTACCCATCAGACTCTGAATAAAAAATATCAACATAACAGAAAGGTCCTCCAAATAAACAAGCTAAAACTGCAAGAAGAATAAACAGTCCTTTATAGAAGAATTTTAAAACAGATGAATGGATATTATTAAATCTAGTCTAATAATTAGGCTAATCAGAAAGTAATAGCAGGCATTCTTCCTTTTATACAAACTTGATATTCCAAATATCAATACAAATTTAATAACTTGATTTCCCATGGAAACCATGGAATACAGTGGATTGGTAGGTGTTCATTTTTTTTGTAGTAAGCTTTAAATATATTCAACAAGTTTGAACAGACCTTACACTCTTAAAGAATTCCTCAATTTGACCTGAATCTTTAAGCTTGCAAAATTGCTATTCTCTTTGGAGATTTCATATAAAGTGTACTTTTAGTAATCCAGACATTTATTTGACTCTAAAGCATAGGCCAACTCCAGAGGCCAAATTCAATTGTCCTTTATCTTTTTCCTTGGTTGAGACATCAAAAAACTAAAGGAATAAGTATTTACTTTAAATGTGATACCCTAAGAGTGATGGCTGTACAATGTACAGATCTAAAGCTAGAAAGGTGGCAGATCAAGCTATCTATTAGAATACTCCCTAAAAAGGTTAAAAATACATATTCAACACTTAATTTGTCAGCTAGCTTTGTTTTGTTTTATTCTTCAGCATAGACATGTCATTATTCAAAAGGCAGCCAAATCCAAAGGGGGGTATATCCATTTTTCGAACTGCATGTTGTTGTAGGTTGGCTTCCCTGGGAAGTAGACTCTGAGATGGAAATTGGTGTGCAGAAGTATTACTGGGGGTGAACTTAGAAATAACTCTCTTCAGGGTGAAGGAAACAGGACTAGGGAGCAGAAAAATACATACTACAACTGAGACCTCAGCAGACCTGACATAGGGCTCTAGCACTTAGATGGCCATTTAGATGGCTCCCTACATGGGGAAAGGCTGCTGGGCCTCTGCTTATCTGAACCAATCAGTAATTAAAGAAGGGGATAACCTTCGGGATAACCTCCTATCAGCAGTGGGTGGTGACCTCAAATAGAAGCGATCAGTTATTCCAACAACAAAATGGTTTTATGTGGAAACTAACAACAGAATAGAGAGCGTGGCATGTGCACTTGCTGAATCAAGGCCTAACAACCCCTTATATAACCTCTGGAGAACTTCCTTCCCAGCTCCACTGCAGGGGAAAACAGCATTACATCCTATGGGAGATACCAGTCAAGTTGGGTCCTGTACTTTGCTAAATTACACATGTGGACACTCTCCTTCTAGCCTCCCAACTTCATTTAAATAGGGTTCTGAATATTAAGGCTCACAAAGGTAACATTGGCAATGGGACTCTGCTGTGCACCATCAGCAGCCAACAAGCTGGGTAACTGAGGGAGGAAGTATGGCGGCTCTGAAAGGACATATAAGCAACTCTTCCCAGCATACAAATTTCCTATCAGTGAGCTGCATAAGGATGGAAAACATCTAAGTACATATGTGGTGTGTACCAAAGATACTGAGTCATATGCACACTACATAGGTTACTAAGGAGAATACACATTACTTAGATTTTTATAATGCAGACACCATGTATTCACATTCTCATTTTACAGAGGTTTAGTGAAATTAAGTGACTTGCCTCCTCGTGTGTTAGAGATGGAGAAACAACAGTAAAACTATTGCTTGTGCACCTGATAAAGGGACATTAAAACATAAAAATATAGTTGAAAAAAAGGATTATTAATTCTACAGATACAGAAATTTTAAGCTTGGGTTCTTTCAATTATGCCATAAACTAATGTAAGACTTTGCTTTTAGTTTTTCTCAGATCATTTTAAGTTTGGAGCAAATAAAGTTTTCATAGAGAATTTTGTCTATCTTAAAAAATAACACATTGTTATTTTGCATTCTTCACAAAGCCTTCCTAAACAGTGACTTTGATCTTTGAAGACAGAGGCCTTCTTATGTCTACAAAGCTCTCCTTATGTTGATGGAATGGAGTGGGTAGGCAGATCATCTCATTAAATTTTATTTGTAGACAAAAATAAAGCTAAGTCAGTAGTGACTCAAGTGAAAAATTAAGTGAGCATAATGTAAAATAATTTTCAACAAATAACCTTGGTTTAAGGGAAAATCCAACTTATTTCAGGTTTAACCCAACAGTGTGGGGTTTTCCACTTTATGCAGCCATAAGCATCTCACTGACATTCTTCAAAACTTCCTTTTTATATAATCCTATAGCTCCTCTGTGTCACAGAAGACATTTCTTTTTGTTCACACATACCCCAAAGGTAAAAATGGTTAGTAATTATATTATTGGGGATAGTCAAAGAATCAACAAATCCTTTAAGGATTAAGTAAACCTACATTGCATATTTCATCAGGAGAAGTAAGAGCACCCAAAGTAATTTTGATTGTGGTCCTTCTTCAGTTTTCACTCCTGTGATCCTACCTTAGGATCACAGGGACTCTGAAAGAGATTGCTACACTGCTGCTTAATACTACAGTCTTTATCTCACACGTTGTCTTTTGTTATCAAAATGTCTATTATTTTTAAGCAAATGCAGTGTAACACAGGCATTCAAATGAATAGCATCTCTTTCAAAGCAGTAGCTTTGAGAACCTACAGGGTAATTCTCACAAAGTGCTTGATTTTTGTGTGTTGATTTTGTATCCTGCTACTTTACTGAACTGATAAGTTTGATTAGTTTTTCTGTGGAGTTTTTGGGGTTCTCTATGTATATTATCATTTCATCTGCGAATAGTGATAAATGACTGGATCAAGAAGATGTGGTACATATACACAATGGAATATTACTCAGCAATCAAAAAAGATAAACTCATGCAATTTGCAGCAAGAAGGATGGAGCTGGAAGGGATCATGCTTAGCGAAATAATCCAGAAAGAAAAAGAAAAATACCAGATGGTCTCACTCATAGCAGGAATTAAGAAAACCTAAATAAGGGGCCAGGAAAAATAGTAATTATAATAAAGTAAAAATCAAAATCAACAAGCAACTATAAACCAGAGACACACTATGGGATGGGGGGCGGGGAGGGAGTAGGATCAAAACAAGGGAGTGGGAATTGTATGGGGACTATAATCAAGATGAAAATGTATACATTGAACAAAAATGAAAAATAATGTAAAAAATATATAAAATTTAAAAATAATAAAAAATAAAAACAAAAAAAACAAAAAAAAGTGCTTGAAAGCTTTGAAAATCCTTAAAATTCTCACCTAGCAACGTACTCTGTTTTATCAGAGCTTCTAAAAGAAAAAAGACAGGATGTTCATTTTCAGGAGCTTAAGGACATGAATACCATGAATATGTTTGGAAAAATAATTCTACTTTAAAGAAAGATTGAATATTTAGTAAAAGTCAAAAAATTTATTCAGAGCCAAGGATGATGAAGCAGACATAAACACACAGTGAAGCTTGTCAAAACATGTGGAACAGAGGAAAGAGATGAGGCTGATGTTTGCTGAATTAATTCTGCTAGAAAGCAGTCACCAGGAGAACATCCAGCAATATTTCATGCATTTGCAAGGGGTCTGGGGACAGGGGTTGACAATGAATGCCCTTGAGTTGAATAGCCAGATTTCACTTTGCAATGACTTTATAGCCACAAATTATAAGTTAAATTGATTTCACCTTGTTAGTAAGTTTGATTTTTTCACTTATTTGTATCATTCATAAAACCATTCATTCATTTATTGAATAACTGTCTATTGAATACCTACCATACATCACATACTAAGAATATAAAGATAGACAGATAAAAGTAGTTATAGTCAACTGAGCCAAGACAGACATGACTATAAACAATTATAACACAAAAGTACTAAAATAAAGTCATGCAAAATCACCATGAGAACAGAGAGAGGATATTAACCCTGCTTGAAGGACCGGGGAAGACGTCACAGAACGGGTAATGATTTAAAGGAAAATATGAATTTGCAACGCAGATATGACAGGAGTTAAGCAGTAGGGCACGCCAATCAGAGTATAGCATATGCAAAGGCCTCCATGTGAGAAAAAAAGGGAATATATTCACTTCTAGTTTCAAGATGGCAAGTTAAACCCATATTGCACTCTCCTCTCCCAACTCTATCCATGATGAAACAAAGAGGGGTAATGGGAGATGGAAGGAGGGAGAAAGGAAGGAAAAGATAGAGGAATAGGAAGGAGGAGGGGAGATGTGGTATACAGCAACACTCAAAAGTTAGAGGTGGGATTCACAGCCCAGAAACTAGGGGTGCCTGAGAGGCTGAAGGCAGACAGCACAAGAATAAGAAGAAAGCTAAAGCTGAGAGTGCAGCTGGGCCCCCACTCACTGTGGCAACATCAAGAGAGTTCAGTGATGGGGGATCAAGGAGGAGACCACCAGGAGAACTGAAGGAGATTAGATGGAACACCCAGTGGAAGCAGCAAGGGTTGGGGATCTTTGGCAGACTCCCACTCCCACCCCCACCCCCACCCAGAGAGCAGCAGCGCAGAGAGGGAAGTCATCAATCCAATAGAAAATCTAAACTGTCAAACTAAGCAAAATAAGAAATATCTAGTTTGAGAAGTATCTGTACCATGAAATAAAATCTCACCAAATAAAAGGACTTAGAATGCACCCCTTAAAACCAGCCTTAATCGACCAATCAAAACAGAATTTTAAAATAACTAGGTGAGAGAGGTGTTTTTAAGTATTGCATCATTAAAAGAGAACGAGAAAACCATAAAAAAGAACCAATAAAAGATTTTGTATATGAAAAGCTGCTGAAATTGAAAACTTTTTAATAAAGCAGAAAGGATAGCAAACCTCTTTTGTGAACTGGAAAATAAGACCAAGGAATTCATCTGCAATGCAATATAAAGGAATAAAGCGGTAGGAAATATAAAACAAATGGAGGGGAGAACCAGAAAGTTTCAACTTCAACTAATAAGAGTCTATAAAGGAGAAAATTGAAGGAAGGTGATATCTGGGAAGTCAGTAAGGAGAGACTTTCCCAGATATAAAGACATTCAGTTCTTTTTTTTTATTTTTTAAATAGCAATTTATTTATGCATACAAGAACTGGGGTGTAAACCAGAGGTACGGAGGGGTGTGTGTGAGAGAATTCACCAGAGAGAGTGGGGAGCAGAACAGGCAGATCTACTGAAATATACTGCTGAGGAGAGCAGCAGGCAAGACAGGAGAGGTCTGTTGCACCATGTGGGTTGCTCCCTGGCTGGCCAGTGATAGAATTTGTGCTGCAGTGGCTGGCGATAGCTTGATAACTCTGTCTTTAACCCCAAAGATATTAAGGAGGCCGCAGGGAGGCCACAAAGATATTAAGTTCTTCAAACTGTTCAGTGTGACAGATATTCAAGAAACACTGAATTGTGTCCTACAAGTTTCTAGAAGTAATCAAGGGCTATATCATGAACATCTGGTACTTTAGGTAAGACTTCACTATGGAAAATTATTGAAGTGAGATATAAATACTTGGCTGGAACAAAAGTATAATTGGGAATCCATGATTTAAAAAAAATGTGGCTCTATCCAATAAAATGGTGGTCTAGTGGCAATGATAACTCCAGTAATAAGCACCCCTAGAGTCCAGTTCTTGATATCTAAGTATCTCTACTCACTAAAAGGAACCAAAACTTCCTAAAGAAATGACTAATGCCAGGGTTGGGGCAGGCAAACTCTAAGCTCTGAACCATTTTGTGTTAGCAAATAAGAATGTACCCAGAAATTAATGGGGTTGGGGATAATCTAAGAATCAGGAAATATAATCACAAGAATAGATTACAAAATATTGACTTTAAAAAATAAATCCATAACTCATAATGATTCTAAAAGAAAGATATAGCGGCAGTGAGACAAGAAAACAAGTGTAGAAAGAGTGATAGAAAATCATTATTTTCAGTCACTTATTATAACTGAATGAATTATGCAAAATAATTGGTGGGCCTGGATTATTGAATGATATCAATATCATGAAAGACAGCTACTCCTACCCCCACCCCCCACTCCCGAAAGCTAGACAACAGAATAACGTGCACTAATAAAAAGAGCAAGTTACAGATAAGCACAACACAGGCGAATCTCAAAGGTACTGTGCTAACTGAAATTAGTCAGACAAGACACTATATACTGTATAATGCCTTTTGTATGAAATTCAAAAATAGGTAAAACTGGGCCTCCCTGGTGGAGTATGGGTTAAGTCTCAGCACTATCACCCCTCTGGCCTAAGTTAGATCCCCAGTCAGGGAGCTAATCTACGTATGGTGCAGCAGACCTCTCCTGTCTCTCCTGCTGGTCCCCTTAGCAGTGTATGTTAGTAGATCCTCCTGTTCTGCTCCCCACTTTGTCTCTGGTGAATCCTCTCACCCCCTTCCACCTCTGGCCTACACCCCAGTTCTTCAATGCAAAAATAAAAATAATAATAATAATAATAATATAAAAAAAGAATAGGTAAAACTAATCCATGATATTAGTTGTTAGAAAAACAATTACCTCCAGGGACAAGGTATTATTAACTGGGAAGGGGCCTGAGAGAGAGAGCCTTCCAATGTGCTGCGATGTTCTCTATTTTGGTTGGTGTGATGGTTGCATGGATGTATACATACATAAAAATGCATTAGGCTCCACTGTAAGGTTAGTCAATGTAATTTTTTTTTACTTTGCCATACCTCATAAAATAAAATTAAAAAATTAAGTGAGTAAAAATGAAAATTTAAAGATAGCTTTACTGAGGAAACACCACTAAGAACTATAAAATACCATTGATTCTAAGTGAATTCTGATTTGACCCTGAGATAGTTGACAAAAACATACATAGTAGCAACTACTGAAAAGGACTGAACTAAATGAATCCATCAGCCTAGGATATTGATTCATTCATCCTCTCTTAGGCAGGGTTGTTAGTGAATTGCTCATTTATTGAATATACCTAAAAATCCTGCCCCAAGTCCTCACTTACATGGATAATCCATCCTCCCCAACAAGATAGATGTTCAGATTTTCAGAGTTTTCCAGGCTGAGTGTCAGCCTAATACCTCTCCTATATCAAAAAAACACAAATACTGACTTCCTTTACTTTTGCAGAAGAACATTTTAAAAACCAAGTATGTACCCCTCAGAAACACAGCTGAAGTTTGAGAAACTTTCCTTTGATGTCTCCTCGTCATAGCCAATGATAAAGAGGTACCAGCTGGTATTTAAATCCACAGTCATTTTGTTTTTCAAAAAATCTGCATTAATCATTGATAAACTTAGCTCTATTTAAAATCAGTACAGTCCCTGTGCTCTCATAAAAAAGAAAATTAAATACTTACCATTTTGTCTGGTACCAACAGCGGCAATGATCACAGGTACTGAATTTAATGCTCTTTTTATCACCGGAATATAATTATCCTTTACTTCATGGAATGAAAACTTGTCATTTACGTTGTATTTGATCACAATGATATCAGCACCCCCGATTAGATTTCGAGAGGTGTACCAATCGCTGTCAAAAATGTCCTAAACCAAAACGCAAATAGCAGTCTTCAGTTTATTTGTCTTCAACTCAATCATGACATAAACTATATCATAGCAGTTTTAAGTTTTTCCTATATTTTAATTTTGGGAAATCATAAAGTAATTTTTTAAAAGTGACAACATAAAACTAAAAATGTTTGAAGCTTTTATTTATTTATTCAGTCTAGCCATTTAGAAAGTGGTAAAAGAGAATTCCTGAGAGTCTGATGAAATAAGCAATCTTTTCAGATATTTGTACTTAAAAATAAGCACTCCATTTTCAAATTATGCCATATTTTTATCACCTAACAATTTAAAAAATGTAACACAATGCAATAGCTATAAGAGCATCAGTATGTTAATAAGAAAGCTTCATAGGATTTTCTGTGACCCAGTTAGACAAAGGAGGATTGTAATACTGTGAATTCTGTAGAATTCCACATAGTTTATCTGTATTTCATAAACTCATATATACTTTTTAACTTTATCCATCCTTTGGCCAGTATTGACTGCATTTGTATAGGGTGTGTGTATGTGTATGTGTGTGTATGTGTGTGTATAAGGGGAGAATACCTCCATAACAGATACAGTGTATTATAAGGTGTAAACATAGTAAGGAAAATATTTGTAATAAGTGTATTTTACTCATCTAAATTAAAAATACAGACTAAATGTTTCCAGTATAAAAATCTTTACTTTGGGATGACTGTTAATATTTACATTTAGACTTGAGCCAAAAGTAATTTATTACAAATCCACTCTTTAAAATGCAGTACTTTAATATTTTAAAAGCAATTTTCAAAACTTCTGTGTGAATAATGATAGTGGGAAAATATGTATCTTAATATCACTGCTAAATATGCATAAGTACCTTCTCATTTCTAGTTAACTATTAATCATCATTCTGTCCTTTCGTGTAGCCTTAGGTAGCTATTTTTAGGATGCAATAAAGCTAGATTAAGAAAATTGACAACTAGACAAGACTAAGAGGTCCAAAAGCTATTGTTCTGTAAAAGTTTGCACTTTGAAATATGAGTCCAAAACAGGATTAATTGTGTTGGAATCAATCGATCAAAATCTACATGTCAGAACTTTTATCCTATGATGGAAAATTCTAGAGAAATGTTAACACAGTGACACCCACTGTGGAGAGTGTTTCTCCTTACCCAAACCCCAGCAAATCCTCTCCCTGTTCTCTCGACTTTCCAACTCACCCATTTCCTAAAAACACACTCAGTCAAAATAATTAGAGATTTTTGGGGTACTCGAATTTTTGATACCTATTGAACAAGGAACAAATAAAGCAATTTTTAAGGCAGATTAAAAGAATTGAAAAAAGACAAATTTGTATACGGTGTGTAGGCCAAGGCTTGAATTTAATAGAGGGTGTAAGAGTGGGGAGAGTCTAGGGGAACAAAGATTAAGAAAATGTGCAAGCTTCCCAGCAGAGCTCGGCCCTAACGTCCAAAAGCAAACCACAAGATATCATTGAGTTCCAACTCTTTCTGCTACAGTCAAGTTCAAAATCTACAAGTTTAACAAGGTATATAACAAATAGGACAAAGTCAGATGAACAGGATTTTAAAAACTAAATAGAAGTAGAATCAAAGAGAGAACAATTCTGAGAGAACAAATCAAACATAATCGCTCTTACATTCCATAGCTCAAAACTCTAAATTGCTGCAAAGGTGTATGAGGAAGCAGGAGACTTTTATGGGAAAAATGTCATGAGAAATGGATTAACACTGTGATATTGAGACTATAAAGACTATAAATAATTTTATTTTTAATTCAAATCAGGGTTTTAAGGCCACAAGAAAATTGTGCCTGTATTACCTCACTGCTTTTTATGGAATACTTTTGGTAAACAGGAAAGACCTAGAAATGAAATCATAATATAACTGCACCAAAAAAAGGGGTGGGTGAGAGAGAGACACACACACTAAATAATGGCCTACATGTAATGATTTGAAGCACATTTATTTTAAAAAGTGCCAAGTATATATGGCAAAGATCCAGGCTAAGTATATGGATCCAGAGGAAAACTAGGGACAGAAGCACAACTATCTCATTCTAACTCCAAGGAAACAAGACTGCATTTTTCTGAAATTACAACAAAGAGAAAATGCTCCAGTAGTTTCTAGAATTATGAAGGAAATCAAATTCTCCCACCCCTTGTAAATCAGTTCCAGGATTTCCTCTTGGAGGTTATGCAACACAAGGTTTGGAGCAACATTTGGAGAATTGAACTCATCTTTTTTTTTTTTAAATCTGTATTTTTTTTTTTAACAGCAAAACAATTTTATTTCACTCAATTGTGGGGTTGCAAATACAGTACCTACCAAGTACTAACACTGCTACCCCAAGGTATCTAGTTGTGTAAATCTTGAACGATGAGTGGGAAAACTTTACTTCTGCTCAGTAAAAGTGATACATGGCTACACTAAAGTTGTAATAAAACCATAATTACAGCAGCTACTACTTATGGAGTACCTACTACATGCCAGTCTCTATGCTAAGTACTTTACATATACTATCTCATTTACTCATCAGCACAGCTCTAGGAAGCAGAGATTATATTGTTAATTTTATAGACAGGGAAAATAAGGGTGAGAGAGAATAAGTGACTTCAAAAGGAAAAGAGCTATTTAGTAGCAATGTGGAGATCTGATAACTGCTTCTTTTGATATCAAAACCTGTGCTCTATCTGCTCTGCTACTTTTAATATTCTGACTCTGTATACATGTAAATATCAGCTGCTGAATACAATCAACTTTAATATGTCTCACGGGCTTTTACTTACCACTGAGAAAAGAAAAGCACCTTATAATAATAGCTCTGCTTTGTCTGAAAACCAATATATCCTAGAAAATTATACCTGGTTACAAACTCAATGCCTTAAACAGGACCAGTGGTTCACCAAACAAAAGGTGATTAGCATAACAAAACAGCAATCAGTGTATGGCAAAAATCCAGATTACAATGGCTTATTTTAATCCATTTGGAAGATTTCATTTACTACAATACATGGGCTCACAAGAATTGCTTTTTGCTAAATCAACAACATAAACAGGAAGGAGTTAACAGCTCAAAGAAAAAACAGGAAAGGTAATCCTAACATCCTAATTCAGCTTATTTTATTTTCCCTGCATTTATTTCCTCTATGTACTTAGCACATGTTCACGGTATATACATTTTTTGACTGTAAGTTCTTTCACAATGAAATGACCAAGGAAAAAGAAGTGTTTTATTTGTTTTCATGGACTCCAGCCAATAAATTCTTTATCAATGTTCCTTATGAATAACATCCTCACTGTAATATGTTGGAGTTTAATAGCATCCCTGTTATTGAAAAGATCTGTTTTTCATTCATTTTAGCCTATTAACATAATTCTCCCCCCATCTGAAAATTTATATGGGAAAGTGGTCTTTTCTTTCTATGATAGGGAAATCTGCATATCAAAACTGTACGTAAAAAATATATTACTTTAAAAGGTATACTAGTTTCCTATAACTCTGAATTCAGTTTTTTAAAATGGCTGTTTAAATGTAAAATCCTTACATTACGACAACTTCTATTTTCTTTTTCAGTCACTAAACTTTCTTTTGTTACAAAATATAATCCTTAGCTGCAATTTCATTCCAATACCAGTAAATAATTAGAAATTTCAAATAACATTAGATGAAAACATTCAAAATAAACTTCTGGTGTACTGAAAACATTTATATATGTCAGGGAATAGTTTCCTTTCTCCTTTTATCAAACACTCAAGAAGTACACTAAGATACAACTACTTCACTACAATGTCTTCCAATCATGGCAAATTTTAAAGTTTTCTTAGAATCCCAAGCATTATTATTTCTGATTTATGAATGATGAAAAACAAAAAACAAACAAAAAAACCCACATCTAATATATCAAAAAGTATATGGATCACCAAAATTAAAAACATCAAATGGGCACATCGGTGATCATTTTGCAATACATCAGTATCAAATCATGTTCGACACCTAAAACTAACACAGTTATATGTCTATTATCCTCAATAAAAAAAACACCAATTAAAAATTCTCAAGGATCGTGCTATAAATGAATCACTTAAAGTTAATTCCCAGTACCTATCTTTTCCTCTCCTTTCCAGGGGTCCTACTTATGAACTACCCCAGCGGAATGTATTTTTGCCAGTATTGAGCTTTCAGAGGGCTTTATTTTTAGAACACTAATATTACACTATCACCCACAGGGTAGTCATGAAAAAACATTGCTCTCTGCTGGTGAAACGTGGTGACCCCATCCCTTGCTCCCTTGGGGCTGACACTAGCAACTGTCAGCTGTCTACCCAAGGGACAACCCACAGGCGTGAAAGGTAAGTAAGTGCTCAGCTTTCCCACTCGGGCTTCTCGCCTTGTAAGCGTGTCCTCCGACGAGGCTGCCCCTACCCAGTGGCACAAAGGCCCACAGATTCCCTCCCGCGCCCCCGCCCCCGCCCCCAAAGCTTGCAAACTCTATCCAGGTAACCCGACATGCCACATCCACGAAAGGGGGAAGGTTCAGCTCCATTCGCCCCGACACAGCAGGGGCCGCCCCTTACCCAGACGGGACAGTCGTGGACCACCAGCTTCACGTTCCCAAACGCGCTGGCTTGATACTCGGTGAACACGGGGCGCGGGACGGTGCTGGTCGCGTTCAGCAACAAGCTGCTCTCGTCCCCGGAGACCAGCGGGCTTCGCCCCAGGTAGGTGCGGATGAGCCCCGACGGCCGATTGTCCTGGTGGAACGCGTCCCCCTCGTTCCCCAGCGCCACGATGTGAATGGACCTGCAGGGGAGAGAGGCCGGCGAGAGGGAGAAGCGGCACGTGGTCAGCGCGCGGTCCCCTCGGCCGAGCAGGAAGCGGGGGGCAGCGCGCGGCGCGGGTGGGCTGCAGCCCCCCGGCCCGGGGTGGAGCCCCGCGTCGGGGTAGAGACAATGGCAGGACCGCGGCGCGTACGTACATGGTCTCGAATCCAAGGACTAGAGCGACGACTCTGAGACAGGCGGCTCCTCGCAGCCTCTCGGGGTCGGTCCGCGGCGTCTTCACCCGCAATCAGCTCATCCCGGGCCGCGTCCCCCTCGCGCGCCAACACCGCGGCGCGGCCGACGCAGAGCGGGCCCGCGCGAGGAGCAGCAGGCGGCGGGGCGCGGGCGAGGGGGGCCGGGGCGTGCGAGCCGGGCCGGGTGCGCGCTGCCAGCCAGTCAGGAAGTGCCCGGGAACATCCCGGGTGGCCGCGCCGCCCCTCGCCTCCCCCCCGAGAGTGGCCGTGCGCCCGGGCGCTGCAGCCCCCTCTCCGCCGCGCTCCCGAGGCCGGGCAGCTGTCGCCTCCCGCCGCTGCTCCTCCTCCCGGCCGGGAGAGGGTTAGGAGGCGAGCCAGGGCCTCCGCCCCCTTGGCGGGCCGGGCGGCGGGCGGGCGCAGCACGTGCCGGCCTTGGGGGTCGGGCGGACGCGGGGTACGCGCTCCCCGCGGAGGCCCCGGAGTGCCGCCTCGGCCGTGGGATACAAAGGAGCGGCCGGCGCCCTATAAATTAATAAATACAGACGCCCGAGCCCGAGAGCTCCCGATCGCAAGCCTCCTGCAGCAAGTTTGTTCAACTCGAAAGGCTGTAACCAGAGCCAGGGGATGGGGGATGGGGCGGTGAGGCCCCCGCTCGCTGGAGGCTGGAAAAAGAGGTTATGGAAGCGACGGATTCAAGCCCGTGGGCCTCTCCTGCAACCCGGTTTTGTTTTTTTGTTTTTTTTTTTTTTTCCTCTTCTTGGCTGTCACCGAAAGTGTTTTACCACGTCTGCCGCTTTGTCATTTGTCAACATGCACTACAGCTGTTTTCTAAAATCATACTTGCGAGAAAAAAAGAAAGGCAACATTCATGCTGGTGCAGAAAGCCTTCTTTGTTCACAGACCAATTAATTTGCTAATATCTCTCAGGGAGGGTTATTTACTATTTCAAGCTATATTTAACATTTTTACCAAAACTGCAGGATTTTTGAAAAAGCGCTGGGGTTCTTTATATGATCGTTTTTTAAAAAGAAATGGCATGTGAAGGGTTTGATATGTTTACTAGCTAAATACTAGTTTACTCGGAGATTTTTTAGTACTCATTATCACTACATATTTAATAATAGTTCTTCAGAGCAACAGAAAAAAATAATCATGCTAATGCGAGGATACTTTAGATTCTTTCATAACTCACTCAAGAAAAGGTTATGAGTGTCCCTCAGAGGCCACAAACTACCTCAATGCAAATGAGCACTGGAATCCACTAATACCAAGAAGGGCCAGAGGTTACCCTGGGATCAGCTTCTCCATGAACATGAAAATGCTTATGAGTGGTCTGTGCTGAATGAATTCTTGTTTATCCCTTTATTTATTTATTTGTTTACCCTAATTTTAAATTTCCCTGTTTCTTTTCCTAACAGAGCATTTTGAGGGTCTGAAGCAGAAGGTAATGAGTAAAGCAGAGAAATGGCTAAGGTAAGAAACCTTTGGAATGTGAATAGCTTTTTATTATGGGTCCTTGTTCAGTTGAAAGTAGTTTAATAGTTTCTGGTGTGCAAGTAGGGTATAATGGGAGGCATTCTTTATGTAATCATTGATTTTTTTTCCTAAATCTAATTTCCCTTTGCACTCAGTATAATTTCCCTTTTAGTCCCTGGAATGTAAAACACACTGAGATAGTTAAGAGGCCTCAATGACCTTTTCTCTTGGGTCCTTAGAAAATATATTTTCTCATAGGTCTCCTCCAGTAAATACAGGTCAAAAACAAAGACACCAGAATGGATGACTGGGTAAAGTAAATGTGGTATATGCATACAATGAAATATTATTCACCCTTAAACAAAGAAGGAATCCTGTCATATGTCACAATATTAATGAACCTTGAGCACATTATACTGTTATGTAACCCAGTCACAAAAAAGACAAACACTGCATTATCCCACTTATGTGAGGCATCTAAAGTAGTCAAACTCTTAGGAACAGAAAGTAGAATGGGGGCAACTATGGCATGGGGGGAGGGGGAATTACTCAGTTTTGCAAGATGAAAAATTTCTGGAGATCTGTTTCAAACTAGATGCATATAGTTAACACTTGTACTATTCACTTAGAAAGAGTGTTTTCATAAGGGACCAGGAAAAAGACTAATTAATACAAAGTAAAAATCAAAATCAACAAGCAGCTGTACCGGGGGGGGGGGGGGGGGGGGGGGGGGGGGGGGGGGGGGGGTTGGTGATGGGAGGCTGGGAGAGGAAAGACTAGAGTCAAAATAAGGGGGGGGTGCAATTGTATGGGGAATATAACCAAAATGAAAATGCATATATTGTGCAAAAATGAAAAATGATGTAAGAATAATATAAAATACAATATTAAATAAAATATTTATTTAAATTAAAAAAAAAAAGAGAAAGAGTAGCAGTGGTAAACTTTAGGTTAGTGCTTTTTACCACAATACCAAAAAAGACACTGAGAAGTAGCAGGAAGGAAGACAAAATTCATTTCTTCTCTCAGTTTTTGCATACGTGATGCAGGCCTAAGCTAGGCAGACATGGCAGACACTTAAATGGCTCAGTTCTTAACCTTGAGAAGCTAAGTTTATTATTAATGGTCACTATATTATGAATACTGATACATTTAATCCTTTTGAAAACATACTGGTTCCTTAATTATAACATAGACTTAGGCATTCAATATTTGAGGGAGTACAAAGATAAAATTCTGTGAATGTTAAGATCTTTGCCTTCTGTGTCATCAGAAAGACGTTCATAGAGCATGCAAGCATAACTTTAGGTCTTAAAAAATGAGAAAGATGGGAGGTGGGAATAATGGGGAAGGTGGAAAAAAATGAGGAGGGCTTTGCTAGATTTAGAGGAAAGAGGAGGTTAGAGGGAAAGGAATATTAGAAAGCATGGACTGACATCGTATGCAATTACATGCAAACCTATATAGACTTGGAATATCATCATTTCTTCAGGAAACACCAAGAGCTGAAGTTAGTGCTGGTAAGCAGATTCCTCAATTACTGCAGAGCGTAAAGAGAGTGGTCGAGGCTTCCCAGGAGATTACTCAAAGTTATAGTTTGAAATCCCTGGAGATATATGACACAGCCTGGCTAGATGCTCACCAAACCTGTTTTCTTTCCCAGGCCCCGTAACTAAACTAAACAGAACTAAACTAAACAAAACTAAACTAAACCCAACATTTGCTTCTAAGTAGGGCCACAAGATTAGTTCTCATCTGTGAAATATGATCCCTGCTACACAATTAAGAGGTGTCCCTCTCCATTCTAGATGGAACCAGGTTAGCCTTGAAGTTGTTCTCCTGAATTTGTTAGTCTGCGCCATAGAAGACTGAGTCCCTGAATGACTGGTTATAGCAGAGTCTCCTCACAGCATGCATTGTACTGTGATAAAAGTGAGAAAATAGATCTTTATTGAGTTAAGCCAGACATTTTCAGGTCAATTATTATAGCAACTGGTGTTACTTATCTTGGCTAATACTAGATGGTCCATTTCCTGATACCTCAAAGATTCTTTTCATAGTGATCTTAAAACAATGTCTTTATAATTTCCCCTTATTTAAAGTTTTATTTGTTTTATATAATTGTAGTTTCCTTTTCTAGTAGATTTTTAAAATTACTGCTTTTACAGGGGTATAATAAATTGGATTATCATATGTCCACCAACCTCAAGGTCAGTGCAAAATACTCAAGTAAGGGCCTCAAATCCAAACAATGTGTTTTCCTGTTTTAGTGGCTGAAATATTAACCATTTTATATTCATTCTGATAGGAGTTCATATCCCCAGATAAACTGTAGCCTCATATGAGTGTAAAATACATGTGCAGTAACTCAGTGAGCTATTATTACTGGTCCTGAAGTCTTGACTTAATATATCAGCATTTGAAAAACATACTGGTTCCTCAGTGACTAGGGAGGAAGCAAATATTGTTCAGGGCAGGTCTGAAGAGCTAGGTTAGGTTGGGCACGAGATTTTCCCACATTGTTTCAAGGAAACTAGGTTTCTATTCCACCTGAGGAGGTGAGGGAGAAAGATGCCTGGCGGGTGAGAGACCTCAGTGCCTCCTCCTCCCATCTCAAAGTCAATCAGAGTAATCTTATTCCCATCTACTTTTAAATATTAGACTTTCACAATCATTTTCATTAAGAAGAAGGTGTTTCTAATGTTAAAAGAAACAAAATTCTAAGACTGCTTATCTAGAGCTAGGTTCTCCAAAGTGAAGTACAGAAACTGACTAACCTATGAAATTCCAGAATAAAGTATTTGAACTTCTATTTGCAACCACATATATTTTTACCAAAGAAGAGGGAAATAATATGTGGTACCTGGATAAACAAAGCAAATGAATGAACCAAATAAAACAAAAACAAACTCCAAGTCTAAAAGAACAATATGGCAGTTATCAGCGGAAAGTTTAACGAAGGGGAATGGATAAATCAGATAAAAGGAGTCAACTGTATGGGGTGGATGGAAACTCAAATTCTGGTGGTGAAGGTAAGATAGTATATGCAGATGTTGATTCAAAAGCCTGTAGATCTGAAACCTGTATAATTTTATAAACCCACATTACTTAAATGGTTAAAGAGGGGAAAATTTAGCTTTGCTAATACTTAATGTGTGGCTTGACAATGGAACCCCACCAACCCCTTAATCCTTAAGTGGACAGGCCTCTAGGTGTTTTTGGGAGAGGATGGAAGCACAGAAGCAAATATCTTGCCTCGAATCACTTTCAACATTATTGTCACATTATCGACATATTGCCACATGTTGCAGTTTCTGTATCTAACTAAGTGTATGGGTAATATTTAAGTAAAGTGTTACAGGATGGAGCAGTGGTGACAGTGTTAACACAACATTAGGCAAACAACTGGCTGAGTTGACACTTCTGACACCCTTTGGGAGCCACATACAAGATAAAATCTAATGACTAATCAGATCTGACAAGAATTACCAAAGTGATTAAATTCACAAAAAAGACTATTATAAGTATGAATTTACATCTCCATTTGCTAATGCGGACTTCACCCTGAGTGCATATTACAGCTAACAGATAGTGATATTCTGAACTGATCACAATTAGCTTGCCATTTA